CGAAATAGTAACAAAATTTACAGGGTGACAGTGAACTCAGAATACGAAATAGTAACAAAATTTCCTGAGGGGAAAATTTTAATACCGAAGTAAATTTTATTACCTCGACAGAATAGGCCTGTAGATCAAAAACTTACAACACTTTCCCCTTTCCAATTAACACTTTTACTCTTCTTATTTTCTTTTCTACTGTTTTTCACAAAAGTTCATTGTATCTTTTCATATATTTAATACCTAATTTCCAATCAAAAGAGTATTGCTTTCGAAGCCTTGTTCAATACTTATCAAGCATCCAGCTACTTTTCTGAGAATGGAATGAAAGTAGTAAAAGGAAAATTATACTAAAAATCATGATACAATAATTTAGAGGTTGTTTCATTTCGAAATTTCCGACACTAAACGTGTTTGCTCAGAAATGTTTCAACTTGGAGATTTTTAAAATATTTTGGGGTTATTTTCTAAGCGGTGACTATGAATTAAATTATTGGTTTCAAGCCGTCTTTAGTAGATGGTGGCAAAAGTAAGAAAAAGTTTTGATAGATAAAGAAATATAGGTTGTCAAATATCTCCCTTCCGCTTTTTTGTCTTTTGAATTTCGCGGCTATGCACAAAGCGCTACAGAGCTCATATTTGGCAACACTATACATAATTTGAAAGGTCTTGACATAACCTACAAAACAACGCTATGACGTGTAAACATGGAGTTCACTAACGCCGAAATTCGCGCTATTTTAAAGTTTTCCTTCGTTAAAGGCAAATCCGCTAGAGAAACATTCCGTGAGATTAATGGTGTTTTGAGGGATGGTACTCTATCACTTCGAACCGGTGAAAACGACACCATGGATAATCCAGCCGGCGGAAGACCTGTGACGACAAATACCGATCAAATCATGGAATACATCGAGTTAGACCGGCATATGGCATCTCGTGACATCGCCGGGAGTTAGTCACCAAACCATTTTGAACCATCTGCAGAAGGCTGGATACAAAAAAAAAGCTTGATGTTTGGGTGCCGCATAATTTGACGCAAAAAAACCATCTGAACCGAATCAACGCCTGTGGTATGCTGATAAAACGGAACGAACTCGACCCATTCTTGAAGCGGATGGTGACTGGTGACGAAAAATGGATCACATACGACAATATCAAGCGAAAACTGTCGTGGTCGAAGGCCGGTGAATCGTCCCAAGCAGTGGCCAAGCCGGGATTGACGGCCAGGAAGGTTTTGCTGTGTGTTTGGTGGGATTGCAAAAAAAGAATCATACACTATGAGCTGCTCCCATATAGCCAGACGCTTAATTCTACCATCTACTGCGAACAACTGGACCGCTTGAAGCAGGCGATCGACCAGAAGCGTTCAGAATTGGCCTACAGGAAGGGTGTAGTGTTCCACCAGGACAACGCCAGACCACACACTTCGTTGATGACTCGTCAGAAGCTACGGGAGCTCGGATGGGAAGTTTTATCCCATCGACCATATAGCCCGGACGTAGCGCCAAGTGATTACCACCTGTTCCTGTCCATGGCGAATGCCCTTGGTGGTGTGAAGTTGAACTCAAAAGAGGCTTGTGAAAAGGGACCACCAGGTAACTGCGGTCGATGAGCTGCCCGGATAGGGATAGTCATATTCCCGATAAACTCTGCGGTCCGTTATCGATATCTCGGAAATTTCTTCTTCGATTGCTTAGCAAAGCTTGCATATTTAGGCATCATTAATCTTTAAAAGAAAATATGAAAATTTTCCTCACATTTTTTAATTAAAAAATAGTTTTTTTTTTGTAAGAAAGAGGGTAACATGATAAAATCGAACACGCTTAATATCAGATAGCTATGAAGCCGACAGCGCAGAGAGAATGAAACTACCTTTAAAAATTACATTAAATTTTCAACGTTCAACGAAAAACCTGCTTTCTGCTGCTGACAAATTCTACCCTTTGATGAGCGCATTTTGTTGGTAATGATGTTCCGATTTTAATTTCTTTTTATTTCATTTATTTCCAGTTTACTTTACACTTTTTCTCTACTTTATCTGCTATATTTCTGTTAATATCTTTCATTATTATTTCCCTGCTGATTCTAATTATCATTTTATATTCATTGAAAGTCTCTTTTACTTCCTCCCAATATTTCCAATCAGTCATACATTATTTTCGAATCCCTTTTCAATACTTCTTCTTCAACACATTAAGCGCCACCAACTACCTTTCTAAAAATAAAATAAAAATTATAAAAAAGAAGAAAAACAAAAACAAAAATACATTAGTTTTTTATACCAATAAACGAGTAATGCAAGAGAGGGGGGCAGAGAGAGTGAAAGAGAAAGAGAGAGTGCAAAATAGAGCAATCCCACCACCAGCCAACAAATGCCTACTGCAAACTTTTTTATGACCCCACAACATAGACGATTTATAAAGATTGCAAAACGATTTATGGTAATGACGCGCGCCATTTTGCCAAACGCACCGATGCCTGGTCGGCTGGTCCTGAGCAGAGACTTGACTTCCGTTGGGCGTAAATTAATAAATTTAATTTTATTGTGAAATTTTCTGACATAAATCAAGTGCTGGTGTGCACAATGAGCAGTGCGAATTGGGATTTCAATTCACTAAACAGCCTTGCCACCAATCTGGAGCACAAATCTTAGGTGTGTTTGCCAGCCGCCGCATTAGATTGACCGCATTAAGCTTGGCACATTTGTCAAAGTACACAAGCACACAGAAACGCACGGCAAGATGTTTCGTTTAAGAGTGTGTAAAAGGCAGAGAGAGAGAAAAAAATGGCGTTCAATGGTGTGAAGAATGTGAGTGAGTGCCGTTAGATAAATAGGCGTTCAAATAAATGTGGGTATGTGTATCTCATTGGCAGCCTACACGCATGTCGATTATTTATTTATGCTTATTTTATTTATTTTTTATTTATTTTTTTTTTTTATTCCAACCAGGTGGCAACGCATAATAAAAACAAATATGTTAGAATATAAAAATTTATGACTTTTATCGTTATCGCCTCTTACCCACCATAGACGCCAACACACCATACACTCAGCTTTGCGTTGCGCGAAACTTTGCAGGAATTCACGTGAAGGTTAAAAGTAACGCAACGCAAAGCAAGTTAAGTTCCCAAGCGTATCGACAAGGCTGTGGGCTATAAGAACGTATATATCTAACAACAAATACGAGTACGCTACCGAACAATTTCCCTACGTCTAACTCACTGTAGTGTACTTACATACATATCTTGATGTGGTGGGCATATGAGAAAGCGGGAAAGCGGGAAAGCGGCAGACAGGTTGAACAATGTAGAAACAACGTTGCACGTCTAATCAGTGCTCTAGAGGCTGCGGCAAAGTTTGAGCGAACGATATTTTATTTTGCATATGTCGCTGATAACGAAAAGGTAAACAAGTATGAGCAGGCAATGGGGAAATTGGAAACTGTCAGTGGGTGCTTGGATTTAGTAAGCGCTGCTTAGGAGTTTAAGCTTGTACGTTTGTGGACAATTTGTTTTAAATATATCAAGTCGCCCAATAGATGATTAAAGCGCACAGCAAGCGCCAACGCACAGAACTTTACAAAAAAAAAAAAAAAAAACAGCGTGTTCCGACCAGCCTTTAATGTGATTACTTATGGCACATACTTAAGGTGCCTTTTCCGTAATTTTAGTTTCCAAAGTAGCCAAGGGAGCTATTAAAAAGGTAACTTGTCTAAGTAAGTAAGATCATGCTGCCCCCCGAACTGGCTTTTGGATTTGAACAACTTTTACGAAAAGTCAGTAGCGCGCTGCTTTGCCAAATTGCTTTTATGTAACCACAATGTGTTTGCTTAAGTAAAATCGCTTCAGCGGTTACACAACGCGCTGTGCTAAGCACCCGTTTTTGACATCTCTTGACAAATATGTATATAAGATTTTTTTTCACGCCCTTTTAATGCTACTTTCATGAAAAAATTTGCATTCAATTTTACTCTTTGCGCCCATTATTTATTTACGCCCACAAAAAACATCGCTAAGTAGACGCACAATAAGCTACGAGCTTCAATTATACGCTATGTGATTGTCGATACTCCTTGATTGCCATAGCCTTACAGCGCGTATGCGTCGACAACTTGCGGCAATTTACATTGATTGCCAATACGCAAGTGAAGACCGTTACTTGCTGCTTGCTCGTTTGTGTAGAAAATAAGCGCATTTGTGTTGTTGTAAATAGGCTTTATTGTTTTTTCTTTTTATTGCTTTTATTCTTTTCGTAGGCAGCCTGAGCGCGGTTTATTTATTGTGATGACAAACGCCACCTGTTTGTCCTATATGTATGTATAATATGTATGTACACGTATGTACCGTCTGTATCGTTGTTACCATAAAACATAAAAAAGAAAGAAAATTACATGGATCTGCTCATTTTTAATGTACAAATACTTAACGTTTGCATTTCATTTTTCTTACAACATCTCATGTACGCTACGCACCCACCGACGCCAGCGCTCTCTTTTCAATTTTCAATGTATAAATTAATGTCAATCCTGGTGGAATTGGTTGTTTGATTGCTTGCGCTTGCTGTTTGTGTGTGTGTGTGTGTGTGTGTGTGCTGGTTTTCCCGTTAGTTGAAATCTTGTATTTGTAAGTGAAAATTGACACTTGCTACGGTTGGCAAGAAGATTGATTATTTCTACTGGCACGGCCTGTCAATGTTGACATTATTTAACCTACATGACAAGTGGCAATTCCCCGAAACATGACGTTCGATGGTGAGTAGTATTGTTAAACGTCATACGAATACAATGTAAAAAATCCTTGTATAATTGTAAGAAATAAAAAATAAAGGAAAAACAAAAAAAAAAGTTCACTACAAACTAAAAATAGAAAATGTTAAAAATAACAGTTGCCCAAAAGGGTTAAAAAATAAAAATAAAAGTTGGAAAAAGGTTACAAAAAAATAAAAATACATTGACATAATGTCATAAGCTCTTCTTTTGCATATGAACAATCCCACGTCCAAGACTCACCTGAATTTATGGCTCCGTGGCTCTGCACGCGTACGTCATAAAAATTAGGCCAGCAACAGGCGTGCACATATAACCGTCAAAGTGTTTGTAACGGACGTAGTATAACGGCACATTTTCTTTATTTTTCGGTTATACGTTATATGTAATAGTTATTTTACGTCCACTTTGCACATGTTCTACATAAAACCGTTGGTTTTGTTTGTTTTTATTTTTTGATTTTTTATTATTATTTTTTTTTTTTGCCTTTATGCACTCCCTAGATATGTAGGCACGCGTGACTAGTTTGTTTGCCACATGGTATGTGCGGCATAAGGCCACGTAGCTGACACAAAGGTGTCACTGAATACGTTCAACATAATTACGGTAACTTTTTTGTGTCACGTACATGTGCGTTTTTAGTTACTTTGGTGTGAAATTTTCAATTTTTCCGGCACGAATGATACTTTTTGCGGATATGATAAAGGACACAAGATTTTTTTTTCGTTTTTGTTGACAATTCCTGTTGTTGTTTTTGTAACTATGTTGGTTATACAAATTTCAGTTATTCGTTTTTTTTTAATATTTCACTGACACTCTGGTTGCTCCATAAATTACATTGTCAGCAGCTTAACTTTGAATGAAAGAAAAACTTTAGGTCGTTACTGATAACGGTTGACCGGCAGTTGATGTAATACCAACAATAAAGTGTTACTTACTGCTATTTAAAAAAAAAACTGTTCTTTTGAAGTGTTTAAAATCGTAAAAAGTCTATTAAAAATATTTTGAATATTTTTGACTGATTTTTTATTTAAATTTTCATTTCATTTTTTAAAATATATGATTTTAATTTAATTTTAAATAAATTCAATTACAATATCATTGCTTTTGAATCTATTTCTTGTAAGAGAAACTAATTAATTTTATTATTTTTAATAATTTACAAAACGAAAGTGGCAAACAAACCACATTCAAGTAGTAGAAATTTAATTTTACGGTTCTAATTCTTAACATTTAACGTTTTTTTTTAAAAATTTTTAAATACTTCATATTTTTCAGATAACTAAAGATTTTTCGCTTCAAGCTACTCTGCAAAGCAACAGTTTATGGGAGGCATAGAAGTAGCGTAGTCTATGACCAGCCTTATGGCATGTTTATTTTGCCATATAACGGTGCACTTTAATTCCCCTAGCCTTTGCTGCACCTAATTATTTAATTTTTACGCTATTTTATTGTTACACAAAATTACTTCTAGTAACAAAAACAACTAAATTTTACCAAGCCTTTTGCATGTGAAGCTTTTAAATTTTTTGCACATTACTTCTCTGTGTGTGTGTGTTTTTTTTTTTTTGTAAATTCTGTGAATTCACCAACTAAAGTCGCTTTGTTTTTGCCAACTCATGCATTTTAATGGCATTACACCCAATGCAGAACTAGCAGCAGCTGGCGCACGATAAAGAATGGTAGTTGGGGAAAAGTATATGAAAATGGTCATGCACACCGGATGCTTGTGCGTACGTAAGGCGTGCGGTATTTTGTGTGTTTGCCTTCTTGGGCACTACCTAACACTAGCACTTCATTCATTCATACATACATTCATAATTGTTTTTAACTTATTTTTCATAATGCAATTTTCAACAATTTTCGCAATAGCAATTTTCGCATTTGCTTGATTTAACTTCATTTTAAAATGCTTTTGTTTGCCAATTCATCTTTACACTTCACTACATCAACAACTCGCTGAACTCTGGCGCCGCCTCTGTTATTGCACTGTATGCACTGATAACATATATGTATATGTACATACTATGTAAGTGCACATCGCTTAACCTAACTTTTTTTCTGAAAAGAATCAGCAATTTCCTTTTTTGTTTTTCTCACCATTCACTGCCGCTACGTGCTTTTGAAGTTTCTTCCTTCTCTATTTTTTTTTTGTTTTTCTTTTTTTTTGTGTGGTTTATTAATATTTCACATGTTTATTACAGGCGTTGCTGCTTTATAATTTTCCATTTCCCGTGAATGCACACGAAATCCCAACAGTTGCGGTATATTTGCTGCTTTCACACCCAGAGTCTCACGAGGCACGCAATGAGCAGGAAGTTGGAAGGAAGCGAAAATATGTAGTTTAAAGCACAAACAAACTCGGTTATTTTTATATGGGTATATGTACATATAATATATAAGCACATATATGTATGTATTTAGTAATAACAACTGCAGCAAATGCGTTCGTTAAGCCAACGACTGCAATCAATTTTGCCCGCAGTTATTTGTTGTGCTTAATAGAGTTCAACTATACATTTGTTTTTGTTGTTATAGTGCACATTGTGGTTTATTGTTGTATTATGTGTGTGCAATTAATAAGGATTTCACTGCTTTAATGCTGCTACTGCGGCTGTAGGTGGCGTGCTATTTATTTTAGGCACGCGAAATCACACGAAGCAAGCTTGTACAATTTAGCACGAGGGCGGTGCGGTGTTGTAATTACACACATACATACATATGTGAATACAGCGCAATCTTACTTATTAATTACTTTAGTGATATGATTTATAAATTAAAATATTTACACTTCTGTATCACTTTAGTTCCCACGCATCGCAAAGCAAATGTCAAATATTACCCAGCATGGCTGCATACACGAATAACGGGAAACAACGAAAAAGTAATTTGCTTCGGTACAATTTTTCGAAGTTTTTCTTTTTATATACTTTCTTTTTATTCACGTTTATTTCTACGTATGTACATAATTTGCCGTTTTGCTATTTTCCACTTTTACTCTGTACCGCTTCCGCACCCACACAATACACACCTTATTGCACACAATTTACTTTTATCGTTTTTATGTTTTTAATTTCTCTGAACTTTTCGTTAATGATATCTTTTGTTATCTCGGCCTGTCTCAGGTCCAGCAAACTCGAATGAATACGCACGACTAGCAGCCACTGGATGTTGGCCAAGCGAAGTGTATCCGCTGTTGTCAGTTTGCTTCTATTCACGCACACACGCATTTACAGAGCGTACAACACGGCGTATACGTTTGCCATGCTTTGGAGACTTTCCAGCCAACACACAAACCGGATGAACGTTTGCATTGCCTGCGGTAGTTGTTGTAGTAGTAGTAGTAGTAGTGGTGTTGCTGGTGGTGGTAGTCAAAAACATCATCCAAATGTCATGGACCAGTTATCAGTGTTTGCTGTCTGCATTCACATCCACTAGTTAATGCGCAGCTGCCGCAATAATCACCCGTTTTGACGTTTACGACTATTTTACTGCCACTCCATGTAAATATACATATATACATATGTATGTTGTCCATACATACTAGTTCGCCACCCAACTAATTGGGTACTTTGGATTTTGCTCTAATTGTGTTTCGTATTTTATTTTTTTGAGTGCGTTGGCGCGTTTGTGTCAACAGCTGATCTAGTTTGTTGCAGTTGTTATTGTCGTTGATGTTGTTGGGAATGCAATATACTTCAGAGTGGTTATTTTAATTGTCATACCTGTGTGAGAAATGGGGTCACGGGCGAGCAATCGTTTGAAGAAGTTTGCTTTGTAAGGTGAATGAATGCATGTGATGGACTGACCATTACGAAAAGCAGGAGGAAGTAAAACAAGTTGGATTATTTCTTTTTTTTAATAATGAAATGAAATTATTGTTCTTATTATAATACAATGATGTGATATAATAATTTACTAAATGAATTTCACCATTTGTGATTATACATAAGAAATTCGTGGAGGAAAAATACTCAGAATATCATATGCAGCAAAAAAGTATCGTATTTTCTTGTGTTAGGAATTGATAGCCTAACTGACTTTTTTATATGTAGATTTTGTATTATTCAGAATAGAGAACCCTATGGAAGTGAATTCAAAAAAATATATATATTTGCTCAAATAAAGTTTCAATTCAAAGGCTAAACACCGTTCCAATATTTTTTTAACACATTTTAATATTTTTTACCCACCGTATGCTTACAGTGCTGCCAACAAAACTGTATAACGAAAAAAATATGCAAACGTCACTTTGACAGTTGCTGAATGTTTTTTTCCATTTCTACCGTGGTGAAGGTGCTTTTTATACGTGGCCCTATTGGTATTTGTTTAATGCTAAATAAGTCTTAAAGAAATTCGTTTAAGCCAGCTCTGTTTTCTAGATTTTGCTAATTGGAGATTAATATATAACGAAATGAACATGAATCGTAGGCTGTTGAGCACATTCTGTGCGCTAGTGCTATTGCAATTGCTGCGTGCCAGCGAAGCTTTCATCGTCACCGTTGACGCACACAATGAAGAATGCTTCTTTGAGAAGGTGGAAGGCGGTACTAAATTTGGTAATTATAGCATTTTTTTTTAAGTAAGTAGCGCAGTTAATCAATTTTTACGCACACTGGCAGGCATCACATTTGAGGTAATCGAAGGCGGTTTTCTCGATATTGATATCAAAATAACTGGTCCGGACAATAATGTTATACATGAGAGTGAAAAGGAATCTTCCGGCAAATTTACATTCGCCGCAGTGTCCACAGGCATTTATCGTGTTTGCTTCAATAATGAACGCAGTAGCATGACACCAAAACTGGTGATGTTCTCGATTGAGGTAAGCGATGCGCCACACCGTCCAGCTGGTGCGCCAAGCGAGGAAGAGGTAGGTCACACCAAATTGGAGGATATGATACAACAGCTTTCAGGCACATTGACTGGTGTTAAGCATGAACAGGAGTATATGCATGTGAGTATAGAGGATTTTTTTTTATAAAAAACATTAAATATTAAGTATTTTGCTTTTCTGACTAGGTGCGTGACAAAATCCATCGTTCTATCAACGAGAGCACTAATTCACGTGTTGTATTGTGGTCTACTTTCGAAGCGCTAGTGTTGGTACTAATGACCATCGGACAAGTTTACTACCTGAAACGTTTCTTCGAAGTGAAACGCGTTGTATAAATTGTACGTGTGAGCAGAGCGGCGTGTAGAAATACGTTGGCACTTTACCTCTAATTACAAACATTTTAGTTTGCCATTTTGTGTAATAGCACATTAATTCCTGCAGAATTGTGCGAATTTACGCTGATTTCCACAGCTGCGTATAATCAAAAATTTTGTATCATCCATCTATCCACTCATCCAGCAAACTTTTTTAGGAATTTACAAAAATCTCAATTTGGCTCACAATCTTATTTAAAACAAGAACCATGTAACTTCTGAATACTTTTTAGAGAAAATAAATTTAAGTACATAAAAAATGTTTGTCTATACAGGGATTGAGGGGATGGGGTAAGAAATAGGTAATTAGAAAAAAAAAGTTTAAGCAAATTTCACTTATTGATATGCGCCAACTAAAATAATTCGGGTCGATCAGGCAACGCTCTCTTTTCTCTTATTATTGAACTCTGATATAATTATCTCTTCTAATTCAATGTCATTCAATTTCCTTTGTTTTGTTTCTTGTGCAAAATGAATAAGTTGTAAAAAAACAAAGCAGTGATATGACAGCTGATGCGATGAATATTTAAGAATTTTAAAATTAAATGTATTGTGCAAAAGTATTGATAAAAATTTCGTGCTAAATATAAATTCACATACAAAATTAAATCAAAAAACATGAAAAGTGCCAATAAGCACACGCAAATATCGCTGACCTTGACGATTGTCAGTTGCGTGCTGCTGCTACCCTTGACACCGAGCAAAGCCGGTGAAATTGGGATTACAAAACCAAACGTTATACTAATACTGAGTGATGACCAAGATGTTGCTTTGGAAGGCATGACCCCACTGCGACAGGTGCAAAAGCTTGTTGGCAACGAAGGCGCTGTATTCACTAATGCTGTGGGTTAACGAAAATTCCAGCTGACTATAAATGATTATTAAATTTATTTTTAACAATTTATTTAGTATACCAGCTCGCCACTTTGTTGCCCTTCGCGCTCCAGTCTTCTCAGCGGTATGTATGCACACAATCATGGCACTCTGAATAACAGCATCAGTGGTGGTTGCAATGGTCAACATTGGCGTACAAAAATCGAGCCGCATGCCTTACCTGTGCTACTGCAAACGGACGGTGACTATGAAACCTTCTTTGCTGGGAAATACTTGAATGAGTATCGAGGTGAACGCTTGCCGCCCGGCTGGACCGAATTTTATGGTTTGCATGGCAACTCGCGCTATTACAACTACACGTTGCGTGAAAATAAACAAAATGTTAGTTACACGAATACTTATTTGACGGATTTATTGCGCGACAAAGCGTTGGCGTTTTTGAAAACGCGTAATCGTCAGAAACCGTTTTTCGCCATGATTGCACCCCCAGCTCCTCATGCGCCCTACACTCCTGCTAAGCGACATCGTGGGGCTTTCGCTAATGTTAAAGCCGTGCGCACACCCAATTTCAATCGCGTACCACTCGCGCAAGGTAGACACTTAGATAGTTCAATAATAAATTTATATTAATTTAATTTTCATTATTACAGAGAAGCATTGGCTTGTGGCTGCAGCAAGGCCGTTACCAAGCGATACGATAAAATTAGTAGATTTCTATTATCAACAACGCTGGGAAGCGTTGCTCGCTGTAGACGAAATGGTGGCGGCCATTGTTAATGCTTTGACGGATCAGCGCGTATTGGATAACACTTATATCATTTACACCTCTGACAATGGCTATCATATGGGTCAAAACGCACAGCCATGGGACAAGCGTCAACCTTACGAAACCGACATACTTGTGCCATTACTAATACGGGGACCCACAATACCTGCGGGCGCTATAGCGCCACAACCAACACTATTGCTGGATTTAATGCCTACAATATTGGGGTGGACTGGTCTGCATGCGCACACAGAGCTGGATGGCATACCAAGACTTGTGTCGTTGAAAAGTGTGGATGAAGATCGGCAGGTAAAGGAGTACCGGCGCAGCCTTTTAATACAATACTGGGGTGAAGGCAATAGCGACACCTACAACGCCAACTGTCCATGGTCACGCCATGATTACCTGTCTGAATGTACGCCAGAAGCAGATTGTCATTGCCAAGATGCCTGGAATAATACTTACGCCTGTGTAAGACAATTTAGAAGCATGACAAATCGTTTGTTTTGTGAATTTATGGACAGGGAGGTGAGTGGCTAAGCAAAGTGGATAATTTTTGAAAATTAATATTTCACTTAAACACATATTTTTGCAGAATTTCGTTGAGGCATATGATATTAATGAGGATCCATATCAAATAAATAATATCGGTTATGATCTTCTACCCATTGAACATGCGTTCTACAGTTTGGCGTTGGCCAATTTGACGCGTTGTGCCGGTAGCTCGTGTAATGACATCAACATTTGAGTACTGCGCAGACGACAGATATGCTCGTAGGTGAGACGCACAAAATGATCTCCACAAAGCACAGTGTGATTAAAAAATTGCGTTTTCTTCGAATATATACAGATATATAGTACATGTGTTTAGCACATTAAATGTTTAACTCTTACTCTGATATGTAGCAAATATATATGTTGATAATACGAAGATTTCTAGTTAAAAAAAAATAATAATAATAATAAAATCTAAGCTCAAATCAATTTGGAAACTATTTTTATTGTATTGCTGCCGAAATCTATTTGAAAAGAATAAATCCTAATTATATTCGGCATTAAAACTATGTAATTTTTATTATTTGTAATATTTATGTATGTTGGACTTCGTTTTACATATGATATCTCAACTCACTTCATTTTGTTTATTTATGTATGTATGTATGTTCTTATAAACTGAACGTAATTGTAATAATTAAATTAATTTATTTTAAAGTGAATGCTTCATGAAAATAATTATTTTTCAGGTTTTTAAAACCATATTATTAAAAGAGGAAAAGGCAAATTACCAGCAACTCATTTCTTTGTTTTATGTTATTTTACGCCGTAACTTATTTAAAAAAAGTTATATTATTACATGAGCTTGCTTAGCGAGAAAGAATTACAAAAAAAAAAAAAAAAAAAAAAAAAAAACAATGAATGAAACTGCTACATAAAGTATGTATGCATGTATTATAGGTTGAATTGCAACTTGAACGCTCTTATTTATTTCGTTGCACAAAAACGTACTTTCATGTTCATTTTAACACTAAGTCCGCATACGCGAATTACAACACGCGTATTGTTCTTTTTTATTCGGCTCATTTGTAGACTATATAGTATGTTTATACTACTTAGCACACACATATATATTTGATTTTGCAATTCATGTAATTTTTTTTGCTGTTTGTTTGCACTTAAAACGTCCTTACAACTAGAGTCTTACTCGGCCGCTTCTTTGCTGGTAGAATTTTTATCCTCTTCTGCATTAGCCGTATGCCAGGTAAGACGTTCCTCATAGAATTGTATGACTATTTGTGGACACTTCACATTAGCTTGTTTAGCCGGCACCAAGTCGGCTTCGTCACTGCCCTTCCATTTCATAAGGAACATCAGTTCGCCTGATGAATCGGTAGCGCCGAGTATTTTTGATGGCTCAAGACCTCGATCGAATCCCATTGTTCGACGGTTTTCTCGCTCCTCTTCAACGGCTTTTCGTTTAGCTTTTGTGTCATTAACTGGCGTGCTACTGGTGCGCTTCTTGCCCTCTACAATAAATATAAACATATACAACCGTCATATATAAATATATATACAAAAGGTGTATGCGTAGACCGGCTATAAAATTTTCACTATATCTTACCTTTTTTTGTCTTCAGCGATTCTTCGAAGGCTGAAATCAAATCAGGACAGTCGAGATTCTCGACCGGCTCCCATGAGTTTTCACTACGCGGGTATCCTTTCCATTTCAAGAAGTACTCGGTCTTTAAGATATTTTTTTTAATACATATTTTTAGCCATCATACAAACATGTGTAACTCACTCTGCCATTACAAATGCGCTTATCCTCAATACGTTCCACCGAATACTCGCCCGCCTCTGACATCTTGTTGTTGTATTTGTTGGCGACTTATTTGCCGCTGATACGTTTCTTTCTTCACTACGTTCTTAAAACAGCGTCTGATCACTCAATACACTAAATTGTATGAAAAATAAAGCAAGATTTTAATTTCTAAACCCTTTCACAGCGTTGGTGTTGGGGGAATTGAACTAATACAATCCAGTCCCGTTCGCTGTAGAAACACGAAGCGGTAGCGCTGCACTCGTTTACAAAACCTCAAAGTTTATTTGAAATACCACGCGGTGGCGTCTTTCCACTTTGCTTCTGCAAAACGTTTACTGTTTTTCATTTAAAAAATATTTCTTTACCTATTCTGTGCAAAATTTTGAGGGAAATTGTAAAATTTTCCCACAAAATTTTCCAAATGAGTATTGGTGTGCGTCTTTTTCACTATCCTTTCTTCGAATTCCGTTTTCGTGCAGTGAAGTTGGTTGCGTTAATGTGGCGCTTTTTTGCAAACGTAAAAGCGGGTTGAGAAGAAACGTAAGACGTAAGAAATCAAGAAGCTTCTAATTTTTATTGGATTTTGAATTTCGTATGAAATGACAACGAGGTATCGATTTTTTTTCTTGCTATCTCTGTTGCCGTTCATAGCGGCCTTATAAGCGATTCCCAAAAATTCGAATGACTGTTGTACCCAAAAACCAATTTTTAAATAAGTTTTGCTCAGCGTGGTTACTCACTCATCAACTCAAAGAAGTGTACTTTTGTCACGGCTGGGTTTCATCATTGCATAGGTATGTGCGCTTATCCCTTAAGATATAGGATTTAAGGCTTAGATATTCTTATATCATACAGTCCATTCTGGAAGGCATCTACTAGAAGCTCATTACCACCACCTAGGCACACTATCAAGGGAGAACTAATTCCAAAAAAAAACTCTACGTGGCACTATAGGAGAGAATCGCTGAACCCAAAGCATTTTCTGTACAAAATGAGCTCCCAAAAGTCAACAACCGGCCTGGTTTCTGGGACTTACTAGGCAAGGTATTTTTAATCAGATTCTTCCGGTAAAATATGTATTACCAAAACTTTCAGCTAAGAAAGCGTTTATTTTCAACGTTCGTACTGTATTCCGCTTAATAAAATCTTTTTCATTTCGATGAGCTGGCATCCCAACATGAAAAGTCAAGTTCGCATAATTAACCGCTGGCAACGTCTTTCTTACGGCTGCCAGCTAAAAAACTGCGGTAGAAATTTCTTTCGTGGTATAAATTGTAAGTTTATTATATTTAAAAGCTTTTAATTCTGTTTAAATACCATTTGTGCCTTAAGGAACAATTTAGTCAAACAAATTCTTTGAAAGTTTTAATGTGAGTTAAGTTATTTGTGTAAAAAATCAGGCGTAGAAAATCGATGGTGCATTTGCTGTATGGTGTGGCAGAATGACAGCGCCATGTTGGCCAATTGCGAATGCATACAAGAAAACATAACCTCAAATTATTGCAATGTCCTAAAAAACTGCCAATTTTATAAATATTTGCATTTTACGTACTTATACCGAAAATTATATGATACAAAATTTGCAGGAAATACTTATAGACGACTACTGAAAACTAAACAACATGTCGCGTTTCTTTGCCACCGGTTCTGACTCGGAATCCGAGTCCAGTGATGAAGAGGTCCCAGTACAGGCCTATAGCAAGGCGCCCAATTTTGTAAGTAAACAAAACCGTAAAAATTTATAATTCTTAATTTGAATAATTCTTATATTTTATTTTAGCAATTTAGTGACGATGAGGAAGAAGTCAAGCGTGTAGTGCGTTCCACCAAGGAAAAGCGTTATGAAAACTTGACTGCGATTATCAAGAGCATACGCAATCATAAGAAAATTAAAGATATGTCAAGCATTTTATCAAGTTTTGAAGATTTGACTCGTGCTTATACCAAAGCTTTACCGGTTATTACTAAAGAGGAGAAAGGTGTCACACCACGCTTCTACATACGCTGTCTCGCTGAATTGGAAGACTTCATTAATGAAGTATGGGAGGATCGAGAGGGCCGCAAAAATTTGTCGAAAAATAATTCAAAGTCGTTGGGTACTTTGCGTCAAAAAGTGCGTAAGTATATCAAAGACTTTGAGGAGGATTTGACACGTTTCCGTGAGGCGCCTGACCAAGAGAGTGATGTTGAAGAAGAGGAAGCTTATGACTCAGATCAAGACAAGCATGATGCTGGTTCCGAAGTTGTGCTACGTGATTTCAAGCAGCAGGCCGAACCTAAATCAGCTAAAGCGGCAGCGCCGTCCAAAGCTGTCGAAGAGGATGATGACTCCGAAGACTCCATTGACTGGGGTTCTGATAGTGAGTCGGAATCTGAATCTTCGGACGATGAGAATCAGTACCAGAATCAGCGTGACCGTTACTTGAAGCGGCCAACGCTTGATAAAGAGGAGAAGGAAGAACGCAAGAAGGAGAAGCGTGTTAAGGAGGCGAAAATACGTCGCAAGCGTATAGAAGAAGATGCTGATGAAGAAGGCGAATGGGAAACTGTGTTCCCACACACCGTTGAGAAGCCGAAGATGTTCGACAAAGATGCTAAAATCGATGTGCCTCTCACCCTCCAAAAATTGTCAGAAATTATGGCAGCTCGCGGCAAGAAGCGCACAGACCGACGCATGCAAATTGAGATGCTCTTTGAATTGCGCGACATTGCCGAACAGCACGAGTTGGGCAACGCCGTTGCTGTTAAAATAAACTTTAGCATTATTTCGGCCATTTTCGACTACAACCAGAAAATCTCTGAACCCATGAAGTTAGAGCATTGGAGTAAATTGCTTGATGTTATGCAAACCTTGATGAAAATCCTTTTGGCCAACGACGATATACGTATGAGTGAAGCGGTGCAGGAGGAAAATGAGGAATTCACTAACCCGCCATATGCGATACGCGGTTGCTCGTTGGCAGCAGTTGAGCGCTTGGATGATGAGTTCACCAAGCTTTTGAAGGAGTGTGATCCGCATACGAACGATTACGTCTCGCGTTTGAAAGACGAGGTGGCCGTCACGCGTATCATTGAGTCTGTGCTTGAGTACTTTGAGCGTGTGGGCAACCCTAATGAACGTTGTCGCATCTATTTGCGCAAAATCGAGCATTTGTACTACAAATTCGATCCTGATGTGTTGAAGAAAAAGCGTGGTGAATTGCCCTCTAACACAGTCACTTCAGTTGATGTTATGGATCGTTTGTGCAAGTTCATCTATGCCAAGGACGACACAGATCGTATACGCACACGCGCCATATTGGCACACATCTACCATCACGCCATGCACGACAACTGGTTCCAAGCGCGCGACTTAGTGCTCATGTCACACTTGCAGGATACTATCGATGCTGCAGATCCCTCCACACGCATCCTCTATAATCGCATGATGGCCAATTTGGGTTTGTGCGCTTTCCGTCAGGAGAACGTAAAGGAAGCCCATCACTGCTTGGTCGACTTGATGGTCACTGGCAAGCCAAAAGAGCTGTTGGCGCAGGGTTTGTTGCCACAGCGTCAACACGAGCGATCCGCGGAGCAGGAAAAGATCGAGAAGCAGCGTCAAATGCCATTCCACATGCACATCAACTTGGAGTTGTTGGAATGCGTTTATCTAGTGTCCGCAATGCTCTTGGAAATACCATACATTGCCGCGCATGAATTCGATGCGCGTCGTCGTATGATCAGGTAAGCCAAGACGCTGAATTTATTGCCGAAAATTTCTTTCAACTTAATTTCTCTTTATTTCGACAGCAAAACTTTCTACCAACAATTGCGTTCGTCCGAACGTCAATCGCTCGTTGGTCCCCCTGAATCAATGCGTGAGCACGTTGTCGCCGCTGCCAAAGCCATGCGTTGCGGCAACTGGCAAGCCTGTGCCAATTTCATTGTCAACAAGAAAATGAACACCAAGGTTTGGGATCTCTTCTATGAGGCTGATCGCGTGCGCGACATGTTGGTGAAATTTATCAAGGAAGAATCGCTGCGCACATACCTCTTCACCTATTCCAACGTTTACACCTCGTTGAGTATTCCATCATTGGCACAAATGTACGAGCTGCCTGTGCAGAAGGTACATTCGCTCATCAGTAAAATGATCATTAATGAAGAGCTAATGGCCAGTTTGGATGATCCATCAGAAACGGTCGTCATGCACCGCTCAGAGCCATCGCGTCTACAAGCGCTCGCCATGCAATTCGTCGACAAAGTCACCAATCTGGTTGATGTGAACGAGAAGGTGTTCGATATGAAGCAGGGCAACTTCTTCCAACGCGGCAACATGGGCAATCGCGAGCGCGGCTACAACCGCAACCAGAACAATCAGGGCGGCAACTGGGGTGGTCAGCGACGCGACAACCGTAATCAGCGCAATCGCAATCAACGCAATCAGCATCATCACCACAAACAGCAGCATCAGCAACAACAACAACAGCAGCATCAGCAGCAACAACAACACCAGGAAACACAAATTCAACAACAACATATTATTGAGGAAGAGTAAGAAACACTCGCTGGCGGCACATCAAGCAGCGCAGCTGAAAAGTATAACAACAACAACATTTTTATAATTTTGATTAAAAACTTAAATGATGCGAACAAATGGGAAGTACGTGGTAGAAGAGACTCGTAGCAAAGAAACCACTGGCATTAACTGCTGCTGGCGCACTCTCACTTCAGCGCGCGGTTCTTAGAAAATCCGCCATCGTTTGAGGCGGGAGTGCGCCACATTGCAAAATTGAGTGCTCAACAATATGTCTATAGTATGTGCTTTTTTATTTAGTATATATTTTTTTTTTATTTTAATAATGCATTGTTGCATTTGATTATAAGTAAATGGAAATTGTTTCTTTCTTCCTGGTAACATTGCGGTATTTAAGTTTTTAAGGCAAAGCTGCTTGATTTGTAACAAAGAATAATAAATATATAACATACATATTATATATAATATTGAAATTAAATTTATAATTCTACTGCTAAGATACACACATGCATACATACATACATACATATATGCAATACAGAGAACTTTCAAAAAACTACACATTTGCAACAAAAAAATCTTTGATCAAATTTATCCAAAATACAATTTATAAAAAAGTAGAGCGCTAAAGCTGGAATTTCAATTTTCAATCAGTTGGCGAGGAGGGAGGGCAGGAAGAGGCAAAAAAGCGAGTTAAATTACCAAATTTTTCTTGAATGTAGGCTCTTTTCAAGTGATTTTCCATGCCATATCAGCCTAAACGTATGCAACATTTTTACAACATGGTCTGGACGCGTAAAAATATCATTTGACCTTAGAGTTATCGTAAAAGGCATGAGATGCTTTCCTAAGTCAACACATCACCATAAAGTTAGACTCTGATTCAATATGAACTTGAACATGTTGTTTTGTGGTATCTTCAGCCTGAATGTAGGCAATGTTTTATTAATACGATCTGATACGCTTTAGTAAGTCCCTTACAACATTAAGAACAATATAAAGAAACGGTCTCACGCTATAAGGATTTACTATCAAGCTGGACGACCACTATATTAAAAATTGTCAGCCTAAATGTAGGCAACGATTTTTTCATCACGGTTTTAATGTGGAAAATAATTGTTTGACGGACGTTACGGTTTCCGAAAGAGACTTTAGAGGTTTTAAAGAGTCATATCACCGTATGAATTCGATAGAGAGATTTACTATCAGAATAGTTAAAGTACTGCTGGATTTTCAATTCATCACGCTTGGTAAGAGTGTACACTTCTTGATCTCAGGCTCACATAAAGTGTATAATTTTAGGGTGATGGGTTGTTTTCGTAACCTATAAATTGGGGAATACCCAAGCGGGATATAGATGAGAATCTGTGTCGGCTATCCGGGAAACTATTAGGTTTTAGTCGCTTCTTCTTATCAGTTTTACCAAATCGTGTAAGATTTTGAAGCCCTGGCCAAAGAGGGTTATGGCTACGGGCACTAGGTAGGAGTTCCGTAATGCACAAAAGCTCCGAAATTGACAGTGGCTCACTAAAGTTCTATCGAAACAAGATTAGTGTACAGAGCTCGTTCAGCGAGAGGCAGGGGGTTTTTGCTTTTTTTTCTTTATGAGCGATAATTTTTGTGTGAATGCATGCACCGCAATTCTTTTCTTCTGACTGAGCACATTTATTTTTCCTATACGAACAGTAGAGAGGAGATCACACACCCCATGGTACAAAATTTACGATGAGTATTAAATTGTTTATGAACTTGGAAGACGGCTGGGAGGTTTGAGGAGCAAGAGGTTGAAGTATTTATAATTATTTAGAGCAAATATAGAGAGCAGGAAAGAGTAGAACAATAATGGACTGCGCAGCTGCGAAAAATTCCGTAATTTTTCCAAAATAAATACACATACATACATACAGGCAATAGCCAGAATAAATTCTTTTAATACTCATTGACACATATGCCGGTAGCGAGTGAGCGAGCTTCTCCCATTAGCCAACCCCTGCCGATACAGCCGGCCGGTTGGTGCGCATTTTCCCTCGTTCCTTTGCCCCGCCTTGTCAACACGCTTTTGTCGTTTTGCAAAGATGCTCACCAAACGTTTGGCCTACCTAATGGAATTCTCCGCATAGACTTTATTCACACGCGCTCACCGAATGATGTTTTGTTCGGCTTCATTAAACAATCACAACCACATATACATATGTACATACGTACATACATCCGCTGTGAATGTGGATGTGCGTATGCAGTCAGTACTGTTTGCTAAGTAGCTCGGAATCATCACCAGTTCTGCGGTTGAGCTCTAAGCGGTAACAAGTGTACGCCCCGAAGATCCCATTGACTACTGCAATTCGTACGTTAAGCAGGAAAGAGTAGAAAATACTTTCAAAGTGCGCACGCGGTTCATCATATCGCATGTAGTGCATATAGTATTTAGAGTGTAAAGGAAAGTTGAAGAGTCGAAGCAGCAAATAATTTGCAAACTTGGTACAAAAATTTCAGGGAGTATAAACAAAAGTAGAAAGTCAAAATTTAGATTTCTCCAAAAAAAAAAAAAAAAAAAAATTGTAGAAAAAGACTAAAGAAAAATGTCCGCTACGCCCACGCAACCAATAAATACGAACGCGTTGAACGCGTCGCCATCAACACCCGCCGTACTTGTGGCTCCACAACCACATCAACATGCATTGCCGCCAAAGGAGATTTCCGCGCTGAAACGCGCCGCACTGCAAGTGATGGCTGGCGGATCGGCTGGTTTTGTGGAGGTTTGCATTATGCAGCCGCTGGATGTGGTCAAAACGCGCATGCAATTGCAGACGACGAGCAAGGCGGCGGGAGAGGTGAGTACCAAGCAAGGCAAGTGTGTGTTTGTGTGTGTGTGTGTGTGTGTGTTGGTGAGAGATTCGCGTTGTTGGAGGCAAAATAGCAAGCCGGGCATGAGTAGACATTTATATATATGTATAATAATGTATGTATGTATGTATGAATATTTCCATAAGCATATTTAATTTCGTTGAGTTTTTTATTTTGTTTTATTTACTTATTATAATTTTTTTTATTTATGTTGTTTTTTGATTTTTTTCGTATAAAATTTTTTTTAATTTAATTTTATATTATTTTATTATTATAAGTACACTGTATTTTTATTTTTTAAATTTTTAATTTATTTTTATATTTTCTCATATTAGAATATTGTAATAAATTATCTTATTTTTATTTTAGTTTTAATTTTATTTTTATATTTTTATTTTTTTTTTTACATTTTTATTTAAATTTATTATTATGATATTTTCATATTTTTATATTAATTTTTCATTTTGTTTTTTAATTTTTATTTTCATACTTTTATTTAATTTTTTATTTCATTTTATATTAGGATATTGTAATCAATTATTGTATATTTGTTTTTAAATTTTATTTTTCTATTTTTCTTTTATTTTATTTTGTATGACGATATTATAATATAATAAATTATTCCAGTTGTATTTTAATTATTTTATTTTATTTTTATTTTTATTTAGTTCCAGTTAATTTATTTTTGTTGAGTACAACTTATGGAATTGTACATTCATATAATTATGTAAAAAGATTTTAGTTTCTTTAATAAAAAGAAATAAATTTACTTTTTGGTATTTACATTTACATAAATAAAATTTGTAATATATCAAATAAATAATAAAAATGTTAGACCTACGAGAAAATAAATTTATAATATAGAATAATAAAAATTTATTTACATAAATTTGAATAAAAATATCTCTCTACCGCCATAAATCAACCAACCTCGCTTGCTTCGTTCCACTCACTCCCACATTAGTACTAAGGTGCATATATGCATACATATTTACCTCTCTACATTTGCATCTTCCTACTTCGAAGCTCAACACATTACAACATTGACATTGTCCTTAATCGTCAATAGAAACGAAAAACAAACAAAAAAAAAATGAGAAAAGATCAAAAAAGAAATAAAAAAGGCCAAAAACGAAAATTTGAATGAGTATTGAGTTAATTGAATAACCCCCCGCTCCCCCACTTAGTATTACTTTCGATCTCTGCGCTTTTTACTATTGTCGTGTTGGCATAAAATACCTACACAGAACAATGTTGTTTAGGTTATTGAGAACGGGAGGTTAAGTGATTTTTTTTTTCATCAAAAAAAGTTTGTACTTCTTTTTTTTTAAGTGACGTCACAGTAGAATTAAAACTGAAAATTCAAATAGATGCATGAAAAGTAGTATAAAATATAAGAACAAAATATGAAGCTACAAACCAGTCTACTATGACGTCAGCAAATCAGCTGATCATAGAAAAATTTGAATGTGATTTAAAGAAACTTATGAAAAAAAAATATTTCATTCCGCCTCAATTTTTTTCTTATTTCGCTTTGAATGCTCTCAAAATATATTCGCTTTTAATATTATTAACTAGAGTTTTACGAATTTGATTAAAACATTTGAGCTTCATGCTAGTTACGGTAATTGCTTTTGACGGCGCGCCGCGTCTACAGTGCGCTGTTTACTTTTCCTCTACAAACGTATGCTTATGATAAGCTTTTCCATTACTAGATATGTATTTGATATGTTTTTACATTAGTAAATAAGTGGTGTATGTGAAGGGCGTAATAAGGTCAATAGATATATGTATGAATGTATGTCGGTATAAATCATTAATGAGTTATAAATTAGAGACAATAAAAATAAAAAATGTAAGGTAACGAAACAAAAGTACTAATAGAATTATCAGTTTCTTTTTTCTATTTTTTCACACAAGAAAATGCAGTATCATCACCCTAGTATGTGGTACTTATATATTTGGCTACACTTTTTTATTAATATTTTTCGCATTGCAAAAAATTTAATTACCGTAGCTCATCAGCCACTTTTGGGACTTATTTGAGACAAAAAAAAAAAACAAATACACTTAATAACTGAGTGCGTATTAATAAATATTTGCAAACATATATTTATATACTGGAATAATATATATGTATAATTTTTAAGAGTACACGCGCATTGAGTTAATACATACACCGTAATCACCTTATCAGCGTATAATGGGCTTTTGCATGCTTGGCATTTGATTAAAACTTTCGTTTTAAAAGAGGCAACGCGATAAACAATATGGAATCAAAATACTTTTGAAAAAAAAAAAAATTATGCTAAAAATATCAACAAAAATGCAAACAATAATATTCATTAGTAAACACATAAACACACATTCATACAAAGCGTTAATCATATATGTGTGTGTGTAGTATAAGAGGGCGCATAAATATTTTGCTTTGTAATTCCTTTTTATTATTTCCAAACAAGATTTACTCAATTTGTTTGCCTCCCCCTTTCGGTTGTGTGTGACCATTGCTTTGGCTGTTTAATATTTGGCTTGTGTACGAATTAACAAAACAGAAAAGAAAACAAAATTATCAGCAAACACAAAAATTGTCAAAAATTATACTATTATATATGAAATGAGTATGAGTTAAGTAGCTGGAGGGGGATGCATTAAATTTTTTATTTGTGCGCGTTTATTAGATAAGCGTTTTGTTATTTTTTTTTTGGTACTTGAGTCTACGAACTGCGACACTGAATCAATAGCGGAACACATCGTTTTATTCTAAAAGTTCGCATAAGTACATGTGTATGTATACACTTACAAGCCTTTGTACGAAACTTTAAATTTTTTTAATTGATTAGTGATAAATCAACAACATCTAAATCTCCACTTCTGATAATTGTGTAAAAAAATATATAAAATTTGCAACTATTTTAAAGGCCCACATTTAATAACTGACAAACTTCTTCATATCAATTAAGCCATTCACAATAGAGTATACCAAGAATGTACTAAAAATTCATAAATTCGGGGTAATTATTAAAAACGAGAATGTTTATTAGACATGTACATTTTATAAGAAAAAATAACACTAAAAATACGTAAAAGAGTGAAGAATTTATACCTTTCATAAATCTATTTCAAATAAGTTACATTAGACAGTGAAATGGCTAAGAATTTTCGATTCAGCATAGATAATTATCCAATTCGAAAGTAAACTAAAAATATCTGTATATCTTAATGAAAATTTTAATTTTTAGTAAATTAATTATGTTTGCACATTTGAGGTTAGTTTAAGTAAATTGTAAATTTTCGCTACATTGCTGCTTATTTTATTGCAAACTTTTTTGAATTGTTGGTTTTCGCTTCAGAAGTTTTCTGTGAACCGCGCGACACTCATGATTCGAAAAAAATCCCGAGAAGATATATGAGGTTTATTGTACCCATGAAATTGCTTTTTCATTTACTCACCACAGTCAGTGAAGGGTTAAATTTAAATTTATTTGTGATTTGTTTATTCACTTGCAAATGTTTTTCGTCGAATGAGTGTGAGTGCACAATCACATACGTACATATATATTTATATAGAGTAGGTGTTTTACTCAATAACCTATAAATATCTTTCAATCGAAAGTGTCGTCTCTTTGGACTACACATCACAGATACTTTCATGCATATTTAATTGTACTGTGTATTGGTAGATTTGTATTTGCAACTTAAAGAGGCTTGTCTGATGACTAAAATACCATTCTGTTCTTTATAGAATATATGTATGTATGAAACAAACAAACGAATTTTTTGTTCCAGTTGGAAATGTAGTATTAAGGTAATGCTGTTTCTTTGATTTGATAAAGATAGACAGATTTTGAACTATCTAACCCAAATATATTTCTCATAATGCTCCCTACCTCTCCAGAGACGAACTTTCCTCGACGTAGACTAAGCTTGTCTGAATAGTAATCGTCTAGAGTAAAGTGTCTTTTTGTAGTCTTTTTTTGATATTATATATTTTCGATATGACAGCTTTTAAGGAAGGTGGTTCCTTTTTTTGGTTGCAGATCATAAATAATTTATTTATGAAAAAACTTAATTTTCCTTCTTCCAACTTTATTTGATTACTTTCTTTCTACTTTTTTCAGGCTCATTACAATGGCGTCTTTGATTGTTTCGCCAAAATGTATCGTCAAGAGGGTTTATTCTCCTTTTGGAAAGGTATTCTACCGCCTGTGATAGCTGAAACGCCAAAACGTGCCATTAAGTTTGTCTGCTTCGAACAAACAAAACCGTTATTTATGTTTGGTGCACCTGCGCCAACGCCATTGGTAAGTGTCACACAGTGAAAAGTGAAAGCTGTTAGTGATTAACCTCTTCTTTCCTCTTCGGTTCTAATTTTATTTATCTTCCACTCACAGACCTTCTCACTAGCCGGCCTAACAGCTGGTATTATCGAAGCCATCGCCGTCAATCCATTCGAGGTAGTAAAGGTAGCACAACAAGCGGATCGTTCGAAAATGAAGGAGGCAGCCAGTACATGGTCGGTCGCCCGTCGCATCGTGCAGACAGACGGTTTTGGCTTTAGCGGCTTGAACAAGGGTGTCACTGCCACAATGGGTCGTAATGGTGTTTTCAATATGGTTTACTTTGGTTTCTATCACAGTGTTAAAAACTCTGTGCCCGCATTTGAGGATAATACCAAAGAATTCTTCCGCAAAGTATTGATCGGTTTCACATCCGGCACATTGGCCTGTTTCGTCAACATACCATTCGATGTGGCGAAATCACGTATACAGGGTCCACAACCACAAGCGGGTGTTATCAAGTATAAGGGCACCTTCCGTTCCATTGGCATTGTGTATCGCGAGGAAGGCTTCCGGGCGCTCTACAAGGGTCTTGTGCCGAAGGTGATGCGCTTGGGTCCAGGTGGCGCTATAATGTTGTTGGTCTTTGAGTATGCTTATGAATTTTTGCAGCACAAGTTCGCGTAATGTCACTCGGTCTGTGGCAGTGATGGTGAGTTGGAGGTGTGAGGCGAGTTGAGTATTTGTGAAAATGTAGCGTCATTACTGCCGTTAAGCAGTATTTACACCACACACACACAAGCATACATACCTACATAGATTTTGTACGATACGGATTATTTGATAAATTGTTTAACTTTTATTATTGTTATGGTATATTTAAACAAAGAATAAGAAGAGGAAAATTAATAACCAATAAAAATATTGTTTTTTATTTTATTTTTATATTTCGCAATTTTTATGAATGAATTTCCGTTGGCTTTGGAATTTTTATTGCATTTCTTTGTGTTCAGCTCAGCTCAACGCTTTGCAACAAATTATTATGATTTTCCTTCATTTTTTCTAGTGTCTCAATCGCCTTTTGGCGCTTTTTGTGCCTTTTTCCAAACCTTATGACCGGCTAATAAAATTCAAAACTGGTCCGCTCAAGCGCAGTGCAGTAGGGGCAGACCCCTGTCGGGTTAGATACTGTTCGTTGTTGGTGTTTATTTGGTTGCCTTTAAGTCATATTATCATGGCTCGTTGACGGATAGTTAATTGGCTCACTTCGAAAGTCTTATATGTGCATTGTTGTTGTTGCTATTAATGTAGCTATGTACGTGCATTTAATTTATAATTCAACCAACGCTGTTTTGTTGTTTTCCAACAATTTTAATTCGTTTTGTATGTGTTTATATGTAATTATTGATTAACTTCTGCATTTACGATTGTGCAAAAATTCATAGCTCATAATTAGACGGTTTTGTTTGGCTTAAACTTACGGATTTTATGTTCCATTGTTTGTAAAGAATGCCAATAGCAACTTCTACAGACGAGATGAGGTCAACAAACACTCATTCACGTCATATAATGAACTTACCAGTTCCGTTCAGACAGTTTATGAGTCCATATCCTTCTCAAGACAACTTTGACAGCATGAGTTCGGCAAAATCTCAAATTCCACTGCGTGAGCACCAGTCTTATAACGCCCAATTCAGTCAGAATACTATCCATGGGTGATTGAATTGATTTTGAAATGGAAAGCAATTTCTCGTATTATACGGGGTCTACCTTGGATTCAAAAGAATTTTGCAACCATATGGAATTTTCTTGAATCATACAATTTTTTTTTTTCCAGACTAACGCATTTTTGCCCTTTGTCCGTAATTAAAGTACCGGTGTTATGCAGTAAACGCAAGATCATCCGATATCCGCTAGCTTGGAACCCATACGGCTTGTTTTCACAGCGGTTATAAGCATTCCTTAACAGATGTAGTGCTCATCATGAGAAAACTCAAAGCAATAACAGCCAGAAGGGTATTTGATTGTATATGTCTCACAAAAATTATTCTCGGAAGCAGGATGTGTGTTCCATAATAGTACCAAACTCCGATTAAAAAACAGCGCAACGGAAGCTTAAGTCCTGTGTTAATAAATAATTCTCGATAGCAGTCTCTTCCGCTGAAAGAAGTGAAGTGAAGTGAGAATGGAGGCACCCCAGCTCGGCGCGTCTAGTTATCGAGTTAATTAAAGATCCATACTCTCAGAGCTTTATCTCGGCTTTTCCAGCGATAAGAGTGGCTTTCAATGATTATTACGCCTTAGGTGACTCAAGATTTGCTGATAAAGCACTAAAATGAACAAATTGTGGTTTCTCAAGAAGTTTGTTTGAATTGAGAGGTTCATAAAATATAATATTACAAAAAAAATTTACACTGAAGTGTTTACATTGTTCAAGGACTCATGGAGGTCACAATTTTTCTTACTTACTGTAGTGTTCTGTTTTTTTTTTACTTTTGAGTCCAGCTTCTAAGCATGTTGAACGAAAAAAAAAGTTCTATTGATTTTAAGCTTAAGTTTTTGGTTATGCATTGTGAATGGCACACAATAGAAGAACAAAGCTGACATCGAAATAAATAAACGAATTTTGCTAAATTTCTTCAGTTTAATATTAATTCAAATTTTATATTCGATACGGTTTGGTTTTGAAAAATATATGTGAATTTAGAAAAGATTTTTGACATTTTTATGTGCGCTTTAAGAAGGACTATCGATCATTTTTCAACCGACTATATTTTAAATGAGTTTTTGGCTTTTCTTGCTCGCTGGATACTTCGCTTTAACGAAATTAAAGGGTGTAAAAAATAGCATGAAATGAAGACACACAGTTTCTACTTCGTAGCTGCATAAACCCTTAAGACGTCCGAGTTGCATTTGAAGGCCAATTTCTCAACAGTGACGAATCCTGGAGAGCACGGACTAATAGTACTTCAATGTTGTGCTGACTACTTGGCAAGTAATTCCCACCATATTTCGCATGTATCTTTTTTTATTTAATAAACACATTGCGTAAGCAATCGAAGCAAATAAATACATTAACTCAAATATTCAAAAGCAGTTGAGGTACCAGTCGGCTTTGGACACATACGTACATAGCATATAATAGTTTGAAGTAGGCCTTTTTGAAAGTTTCGTTTATTATTATTTTCAAACGTAAGGTCAATTGTATTTCGCACTATATGCATTTGTCCAAATAGCTTTTACCGTTACCGTAGCCGAACGCATTAGGGTCAATCGCGTTGCTTCTACAAATGGCCTTCAATGGCTAAGCTTCTAAAGTCGTTGTAAATTGGCCAAAAATCAGCGTAAATATTTTATTAAATATTGCCATTATTTTGAGTAAGCACAAAAACGATATCCTAAGTGTTAGTAAGCGCTGTAAATGTTTATTTTTTTTTTATAGATATATTCGCATGGCAAACCAGTATTTTATGTTAAATTCGAAAGTGAATTACTATTTGCTTCTAGATTGTTTTTGTGTAGCGAAAAATTCGAGTACTTGTAGCCGTGCTGTCGTCTACGAACTGCTCAAGGACATGGGACAAGATGATAGACAAGCGGTCGATTGTAGGCTGGTCCAGCCGGTTGGTGGAAAATGAAAAAGAGTTAGGCTGAATTATAGAAACTCCTAGACATTTGTATGTATGTAATTACACTTGTGGAAATGTATGTATGTATGTACTCGTATGTGCATACATAGTATGTTTGCACTGTAGATTATCAAATCTTTTACGGCTGAAAATGCTGTTAGTCCACTTTGAAATGGAGCAAATTAAATCGCTGGAAAAATTAATCTTTTTTTTGATAGCAACCAAATTATTGCATGATTTCGTTTTTGTTTGTTTCATAACTGTTTTTGTGTTTTTTTTTTTATTGTTTGTTTACTTTCATTTGCAATTCAATTAGTGATTCTAGCGTTCGTTGTTGATATGTGGTGTCATAAGCGAATCCGATCGCCATGTTGACATAAGGTGTCAAACAGCTGTTGACGAGATATGTATGTATGTATGTATGTATGCAGTGTGAAAACTTGAATCGCCTCGATTAAGTGCAAAAAATCGCTTGAAATCGGCTTTTCAGAATTCGGCACAAATTTACATGATTATCGTTAACCAAATTGAAATATCCTTTATTGACATAAATAAAATACCGTTAGGTTGATTTTTTTAATAATCAAAGGATTTAAGTTGAAGTTAAGAAGTGCTTCTTCAAAACTGTTGAACGAAAATAAAACATCGTAACCAAAGAAGCATCTTATGAGCTCTAAAAAGGCACCCATGAGCGCTGCTCTCAGTTAGCGCAAAGAAGATAACTTTGGCACAACAGTCGGAAAATTCAGTCTTCGTAACGACGTTTTCCCAAACGGATGGAGAGTGAATAGTATCGCCGTGGTCAAAATATGGCACCAGTTGTCGGCGTAAGAAAACTCAGCAGAGTACTTGGCTGTTACCGCATCGAAAAATCTCACCAACCAAATCGGGATGGACGGAAGACTTGTCTCTAGTGCTCTAGATGTGCGCATCTTCTGAGGATATAACAGCGAGTATGCCCATCAACCAAAACTAGGACAGTTCAACATGGAAAATCTGCAATCACAGCAGACAAACAGCCAATTCTCTGCAAGACTTGCACTCCTGCTTTCGGAAGCCTACAATAACTCGATATAAGGGATATATGGAACTGGCTATCCAGATTTAAACCTAGCATGCATACGAGTACAAAAAAAAATTAGTTTTCGACAATGTCGGGACGTTGAGAAACTACGAACTGCAGTGGAGCGAAAACACGTCGTCTTACAGAAGGTTTCAACACCAATGGTGAATTTAGTAGGAAACAAGTAGGTAATTTGGTGACCGACGTCCACTTTATGGAGAGAACACTACTACAGCTACTGCCTTTCAGAGAGAAACAACAACACCCAGATATTGTTAACCCGAATCTCCAATTGGTGATGATGGAAAAGGCATTCCAATACGTTTGGAGAATACTAAAACAGCATGTATTAGCTTTTTTTACACAAAATGGTCAACTGTAAGCATGTCCGTCATTCGGAACCTCAGTATGCTCTTCTCAAGCCATAAGAAAGGAACCTAGCAGTCTGCGTCAAGCATTGTGGAATGAGTTCTATCGAAATAGAGTTGAGACTCACGGAGTTGGTCAGTACCAAAGAAGATTTCAGACACTTTTACTCTCCATCGTGTGTCTTCAACTTAACGCTGGAGATGCTCTTTTCTCTATGGCTTCAAAAACTGTGTTCTAAAGGTTTTGTGAGCAGTAAAAAGTAAAAAAAAGTCGGAAGACTGAGAAGAGACATATTGCAGAGTCGAACGCTTTAAAGCGCATAACGGTATTAGCCTGTAACTCAAGGCTGCCATTACTACACGCATTCCTTCGAAGCCTGGGAAAGTTCACAAACAAAAGACGACGACAGGAAGCCAACATTTACATTGTTGAACAGAAACAAATAAATCTTCAACTTTTCAATAGTGCTCATTTACTACTCTTTTGTCCATGTCAGCCGCATGCCTGGCAGTTATAATCACATTGGTATTAAGTGCTAATTTTTGTAATAATTATCCATAACACTGGCCACTATTTTATTTGCATACAAAAATTTACGACATTAAGCCGCTGACAAAGAAAATCCAATCGCTCGCTCGTTCGCTCGTTCGGTAGCTAACGGATTAGAAACGAAAAAACACTGCAGGAAAATGCAAATGATATTGCTGGCCGACAATAGCCGCGCTTCTATGTCAGCGGCGGCAACAGTTTACCACGACCTGTCTCCTCCGGTTGGTCTAAGCTTTTTGCACTCTTCGTGCTTATGATATAATAGCCGATTGCGGTTGAGAACTCGTTAGACTACTTGTGCAGCACGCTATGCACAGCGTCCGAGCGATTCGAAGTGTTGCAGGCCAACCTTTTGCTAAAAATCGCCACAGCGCTTGCGCACAGTTCTTTGTTGCACGCGGCAACGAACGGTTGTAAGTGGCGACAAACGCAAACACTGAAAAAGTTTGAAAATACCGCGCGTGAATCCACAAACAGCAGTTACCTGTGGAGCAGTGAATTGTCTTTGAAACCACGTCAGGCGTGCTTTTGATTCGAATACCGTAAGCTAAGTATTTTGCATAGCGCCGAACACTATGTTACGCGCGCTCATCCTGCTTGGCCTGGCGCTGCTTGCGCCTTGCTGTTGCAGTGCACAAGAGTTAAGTGTCGCTGCGAATACAGATATCGCGTTGCAAGCGCGTGATCGTCGCAGCATTGATGTTGGTTGGCTGCTGCGAAATCTACTTTTGAATAGCGCCACTGCGAGCGATTTGAAGGCGAATGTGACGCGTAATATTGTTGCGGCTAAACGTCCACCACCATCGCCGCCACCCACTACTAGACGACCACGAACTACACGTCCGCCTACAACGCAAGCGCCACCACCACCGCCACCGCCTCCATTTAATCCATTCTTCGACAAGCTGGCTTTATTTGCTAGTTCGTCCAATTTGTGGAAACCTACACCGAGACCCACAACCACGACTGCAGAGCCTCCGACAGAACCACCACCATCACCGCCGCCGACACGTCGTCCCCGGCCGCGTCCGCGTCCACGCCCACGCCCTAAGCCATACCCTCCAACATATGGTTTTAGTAGGCCGCCATATGGTATTGATTTTGAGTATTTCTATCCCTCTGCAGACGATGGTTCGCTTGGTGGCGCTGGTGGTTCACGGCCAGATCCTGCAGATTATGATTATGATGATGTGCCTGTTGCGCAATCTGCGCCATCGCCATCACCATCGCCATCACCACCGCCACCACGACCACCACAATCTCCGCCGTCAGCTCCACCACGCAAGTCAGCGCGCAATCGCCAGCGCCCAACGCCGGCACCAACACAATCAGCGCCACCACCACCACCAGTACGACGTCGACCAGTTACATCGGCACCAGCAACCGCTCCAGCGCCGTCAGCACCACAACCACAGCGCGATCGATTGCTGTACCAGTACGCACAACGAGATGGTAAAATACGTCAACTAGTAATTAAATGTCATAAGACTGGCTTTACAAGCTCACTTTGCAGATACCTCATCCAATGATAACAACGATGATGCCAACCTACAACCCGAATTCACACCCGAAGCAGATGCACAACCATTAGTAGACGATAGCAGCAGTGTTGCGGAGGATGATGGCGCTGGGCAGGGCGGTGTAGCTCCCGAGGGTGACGATAACGAAATTCCTACAGATGGTGATGCTGGTTTTCCGCCCGAATTGCTAACGTCTCGCCTGCCTGCATTCGGCCGTAGTACTTACCCGAAGTCATCATTCTCATCCACCTCGCCTTTCGGCTCATCGCCCCACTATGATACCATATCTTCATCTGGAAATCCGTACAGTTCATTTAACGCTGCTTCTCATGGGGTTGGTTCTGACTTCGGCAGTTCTTCGTACGGCTTTAGTCGTGCTAGTCCTGCTAAAGGTAACTATCAGTTCCGTGACGCTTTCTCCGACTTCCATACCACCTATGACGGAGACCATTTTCCAAGCGACTTCAGCGCGTATAAATCATATACATAAATAGTTTTTAAGTTTGAATTTGTTTTTTTTTTAATGCGTGTTAACTTTTTTGGCTTATTTTCGAGATTTTTGAAAATTATGTGAATTGCACACGATTTCAGATATTGTGAATTTATTATATTGTACATACATATCTATGCATTTTTTGTAAATAATTTAATTTAAGCAACGATAAAGGCCAAAAGGTGTTGAAATAAAGTTGTTTCTAATAAATTTATGCAATACGAAAGTGAAATTTAGGAAAATAAAAATTTTCATTTGTGATAAATTGAAGTGAAAACGGACTTTTTGTTTCTATTCTAACCTCAAATATATTAAAATTAGTTGTGTTAGGCAAATTTTCGATCTTAATGTTCCATCTAATTAAACTCTTAAGAATTGTAAATTAAGGAAGCAAAAAAAAAGGGTTTTGGAAGTGAAAAACTTTTCATTTTGGTAATGAAAAATAGTTTTCCTTGCATATTCACTCCAGTTTTTGATACAAACCAATGTTATTTTAATAATTCCCAAAACTAAACTTTTTTACACCCAAAAAGGGGAAACATTTTTTTTTTTCAATTGCATTTCCGTTACATTTTGCACTAAGGCTGTGTGCCAATCAAATGAAAATTGTAAATTTAGACAGCCAACATTGAAATTGTGACATTTCTCGTGGTGAGTACAAGCGTTAGAATTTCACCTAGCATCAGGGGCTTGTACAATTTTTCACACCATAATAAATTTTTTCCAACTCATGCCTGAGAAACTCACACCATATAAAAAAATAATGATTGGAACACAGCCTATGCCTGTGTCGAAAGGTTCAAACTTTTTTATGATCACCATTTCACAAGGCGAGAGCTGAAAACTCGTTAGAAAACTACTACTATTGTCAAAAATTATAAAAATATTTATATGCATTTTATAAAAAAATTAAATTTTACCAATTTCAACATTTTAACAGTTAAAGTCGCCCTTACGCAGTAAGTAGCGCCCAAGATTTATAGAATACAAGGTTACGACAAGAGCGAAATATTGGGTTGCCCAAAAAGTAATTGCGGATTTTTCTTATTGTCGGCGTTGACAAATTTTTTCAACGGCTTGTGACTCTGTAATTGCATTCTTTCTTCTGTCAGTTATCAGCTGTTACTATTAGCTTGCTTTAGAAAAAAAGTTCGCGAAATTTTGTTTACATTTGTTTGTTTGGCGTCAATTTTAATATGGAGCCCACAAAGGAGCATTTTCGTCATATTTTACTTTATTATTTCCGTAAAGAAAAAAACGCGGAGCAGGTTGCTAAAAAGTTACGAGATGTGTATGGTGATGAAGGCCTAAGAGGAAGACAGTGTCAAAATTGGTTTTGCAAATTCCGTTCTGGAGATTTTTCACTTAAAGATGAGCCACGTTCAGGTCGGCCAAATGAAGTTGATGATGACCAAATCAAAGCATTAATCGAATTGGATCGTCATGTAACTGAGCGTGAGATAGAGAGAAGTTAAATATACCAAAATCAACCGTTCATTATCACATAAAAGGTCTTGGACTGGAGAAAAAGCTTGATATTTGGGTACCACATGTATTGAAAGAAATTCATTTAACACACAGAATCAACGCTTGTGATATGCACCTTAAACGCAATGAATTCGATCCGTTTTTAAAACGGATCATAACTGGAGATGAAAAATGGATTGTTTACAACAACGTTAGTCGAAAACGATCATGGTCCAAGCATGGTGAAGCAGCTCAAACCACTTCAAAGGCTGATATCCACCAAAAGAAGGTTATGCTGTCTGTTTGGTGGGATTGGAAGGGTGTCGTATATTTTGAGCTGCTTCCAAGGAACCAAACGGTTAATTCGGATGTTTACTGTCAACAATTGAACAAATTGAATACAGCCATAAAAGAGAAGCGACCAGAATTGGTCAATCGTAAAGGTGTCATATACCACCAGGACAACGCTAGACCGCACACATCTTTGGTCACTCGCCAAAAACTGACTGAGCTTGGCTGGGAACTTTTGATGCATCCACCATATAGCCCTGACCTTGCACCATCAGACTACCATTTAAAGATCGAAGCAGAACTCCTTAAATGGTAAAACTTTCGGCAATGATGAGGCTATAAAATCGCACTTGGTTCAGTTTTTTGCAGATAAAGGCCAGAAGTTCTATGAGCGTGGATTTTGATTAAAGTTCATTCTAAGTTTTATTAAAAATGCATTTACTTTCTTTTAAAAAATCCGCAATTACTTTTTGGGCAATCCAATAATATGTTTAGTGACGAAGTTGGTTCAATTTTGTTAATTATTAAAATTCAAAGCGAAAGCGCAATATTATGAAATGTTTAATAAAAAACCACGATTTTCGCATATTTTCTTTGTCTGCTAAAGAGCTTTTGGGAAAGGGTTGATCCATATCTTGTGAAAAAATCGTGCTTAAAAATTCGAAGCCGTAAAAAAGTGTGTAGTGGGATATCGTGGACAAAAATTTGAAAAAAAAAAATTAAAACAAACATGTGATACTGTGGATTATTCGTTAACCGCTCCATTTTGTGAATTTAATGATGCATTTTGCTGGACCGGGGGATAGATAACAATATACACTTATCTGAAAGAATTAAGTATTGATTTGCAAAAGAAATGGTTCTTTCTTGTATATTTGTGTAATTATTTGGTGGTATTCGGCCACCTCGACCTTGGTTTGATCAAAATCTTGCATAGTAGCTTGTTTTTCATAAATTCTTGTGCCATCTTTTAATTAAAAAAGTGGCCAAATATGTGCGACTGCGGTGGCCTTAGTACGTAAAATCAAAAATAAAATTTGTATAATAAGAAAAATTTCCCATATTTACATACATAAACATTTTTGAAAGAAAAAAACTTATTTTTTTATAATATCATATCCCGCCTACGGTATATATGACGAAGTTGTTTCGGTGACGTCAACGGTTGTCGTTATCTTGTATTCTATAAACCTTGAGTAGCGCCGTTAATATTAGCATTAAAGTCGGCGCTGCTTTCCAGTGAGAGTGAACAAAATTGTACCCCTTTGGCGCTCTGTTTACATTTTTCGTGCCTTTCACACGCATTTTATCGTGCATTTGCTTTCAAATAATGTTCTATTTTTTGTTTTGTTCGCTTTGAGCACAAGTTTATTACCAACTTTGCTTTGCATTGCCATTGCTGTGTCAAAATTCACGAAACGAGCGCTACCACGTGCAACAGCTGGGCAGAAGTAAGTGAACGGGCGTGAAAAAATAATATTTCATTTCTAAAATATTTTTAACAATAAAATTATTGTGTTATTGCTTGTGTAAAAGCAAGTGAAAATGGGTAAAAAAGTGTATAACGCCAAAGCGCGTCAAAATCCCAAAACGCTTGTGGATAATTCTGCGGTCAAAGATGTAAGTTTCTACACTGGAGCATGCCAGTGCACGAAAACTATATATGTGCATACATATGTTTGAATTTAACTAATTTATTGCTGCGCAGATAAAAATTGAATGGGCTGAAGGTGTAACCGAGGCAGGCACCGGCTACGATGATGCCAATGCATTGGCCTTACCCTCACAGAAGCGTGCCACCAAAGTGCAAGTGGATAAGCAGCAACATGTGAAGATATTATCGAAGAAGCAACGCAAGCATCTGCAACAAATTGTAGACAAGAAGAAAAAGAAGGAGGGCGTGAGTATACATACATACCTATTTACTTATTCCTTTACTAATGGTGCACAATTTCCATTAAATAGCGTGCTGAATTACTACAAGCCTTAGCAAGCGTACAAGTGCCTGAACAGGAGTTGAAACAGTACACATCCATCAGTCAAGTGCAAACGGTAGGCGTGAAAAAACTGCAAACGCTGGAAGAAGTGTTAGCAAAGAAACAACAACGCCAAACAGAGCAAGCCACCAGCAAAGTAGTGGGCAAAATTAGCGCAATCAAAGGCGCAGCTAAACGGAAACTTCTTATTGAAGATGAAGAAGAGTTGGCTGCTAAGCGGCGTGATCCCAATGTAGTAAGTCTCGAGGGAGATGATGATGAAGATAGCGACAGTGAGAGCAATACAGAAAGTGACACTGAAACGCAAGAGAACCAAAAAGAGGCAGTTGATAGCGGTGCAGCGCCAAAGTCTACTGAAGATATTGCCGAATGCGAGAAAACACAAATAAGTGATTCGAAAACGACTGAGAATTTTGCTGAGAAAACAGTAGATGCTAAAACTAAAACAGAGAGCGCATCAAATGTCGGTAAACCGCCTGTGCCATCGCGTACCACAGTTTTCGTGCCCGTACATCGCGATGCTGATGTGCAGGCAGCACGTCTGAAGTTGCCAATCTTAGGCGAGGAGCAAGAAATAATGGAAACAATTAATGAGAACCAAATTATAATTGTTGCCGGTGAAACGGGCTCCGGCAAGACAACTCAAATTCCACAATTTCTCTATGAGGCGGGCTATGCACAGAATAATAAGATTATTGGCATAACAGAGCCGCGTCGCGTGGCCGCTATAGCCATGTCAAAGCGTGTGGCGCGTGAAATGAATCTAACGGATAAGGAAGTCTCCTATCTGATACGCTTCGAGGGTAATGTTACGCCACAAACGCGTATCAAGTTCATGACAGACGGTGTGTTGTTGAAGGAGGTCGAAAGTGACTTCCTGCTACATCGTTATTCGGTCATAATACTCGATGAAGCGCACGAGCGTAGCGCCTACACTGATATTTTAGTTGGGCTGCTGTCGCGTATTGTGCCTTTGCGGCAAAAGCGCGGCGATCCGCTCAAGTTGATTATTATGTCTGCGACGCTGCGTGTCGAGGATTTTATAGGGAACACAAAACTGTTTAAATATCCACCGCCATTGCTGACTGTGGAAGCGAGACAGTTTCCGGTGACTGTGCACTTTCAGCGGCACACACCCTCGGATTACTTGCAAGAAGCTTTCAGGAAGACGGTGAAAATACATTCAAAGCTGCCAGACGGTGGAATTCTGATTTTTTTGACAGGTCAGCAGGAGGTAAATACGTTGGTTAGAAAGCTGCGCCGTACTTTTCCCTATATTAAGAAGGACGATTTGAAGAATGTGGCGGAGAAGGAAAAGGAAGTAGATGAAAAATTGAAAAATTCGCAGAAAGAGTACAATGAAAAAGCCGAGAGCTCCACAGATACATCTCTAGAGATCAAGGGGAAAACTGAGCAAATGGACGAAGACTCGGAAGCTACCACTCAGCTTCGCAGCGAACAGAATGAGGAGGATTCTGATGTCGAATTCGATATGAAACGTGCCATACGTAGCGTGAAGAAGTCGAAGAAGAAGTTCATGTCTCAAATTGCGCTTCCAAAAATCAACCTCGACGATTATAAACTGCCAGGCGATGACACCGAAGCTGACTTACACGACACACAGCATAGTGATTCGGAGGCTGAAGCCGGCACAGGTGAAAGCGGGGATGAGGAGGAAGACGCAGATGGCGATGAGAACACAGCTGCACACATCGCCGCTACCAAGCAACCACTTTGGGTACTGCCGCTTTATTCATTGCTCTCGCCAGAAAAACAAAATCGCATATTTCAGCCACCACCCGAAGGCTGTCGCCTCTGCATAGTAAGCACCAATGTCGCCGAAACTTCGCTCACAATACCGAACATCAAATATGTCGTAGATAGCGGCCGACAGAAGACGCGCCTGTATGATAAGATAACCGGCGTGAGCGCCTTCGTTGTCACTTACACCTCCAAAGCGTCAGCGGATCAGCGCGCTGGACGTGCTGGTCGTGTAAGCGCTGGTCACTGCTATCGACTCTACTCGAGCGCTGTCTATAATCACGATTTCTTGGATTTCAGCCAGCCAGATATACAAAAGCGACCGGTTGATGATCTCATGTTGCAGATGCGTTGTATGGGCATTGATCGTGTTGTGAATTTCCCTTTCCCCTCACCGCCCGATACCGTACAATTGCAAGCGGCTGAACAGCGTTTAGTTGTCCTTGGTGCACTAGAGCGCATGGGTGAAACAAAGGATGGCAAAGCACTACCGCCCGCTGTTACTAAGTTGGGGCAGGTGATTTCACGTTTTCCGGTGGCACCACGCTTTGGCAAAATGCTAGCGCTCTCACATCAACAAAATTTGCTGCCCTACACCGTTTGTTTGGTCGCCGCACTCTCAGTGCAAGAGCTGCTCATGGAAGTGGGACTGAGCGAGCAAGCAGAGGATGGCGCTGAGAGCAAAACGCTGGCGCGTAATAAGTGGCAAAAAAAGCGCATCAGCTGGGCAGCTACAGGTAATTTCCAGTTGCTCGGCGATCCCATGGTGCTGCTACGCGCGGTGGGCGCAGCGGAGTACGCCGGCTCCCAGGGTAAATTATCGCAGTTTTGCACTGAAAATGGTCTAAGACCGAAGGCGCTCACCGAAGTGCGCAAATTGCGCATACAACTAACCAATGAAATCAACTTGAATGTGTCCGGTGTGAATTTGTGCGTTGATCCGGCCATGCCACCGCCAACCGATGCACAAGCGCGCTTTCTGCGTCAAATTCTGCTAGCTGGCATGGCTGATCGCGTGGCGCGCAAGGTATCGCTTGCCGACATAAGCGACAAAGAAGAGAAGCGTCGTCTCAAATATGCATACAACTGCGCCGATATGGTAGAGCCGGTCTTCATGCACTCGTCATCGGTGCTGCGCGGTCAACTGCCCGAATGGGTTATCTATCAGGAGGCGTACGAGACGCAACATGGCGATGGTACAAAAATGTATATACGCGGCATCACCGCCATCGACCCCGAATGGCTGCTGCTCTATGCGCCCTTGCTCTGCAACATACGTGATATCAAAGAAGAGCCCATGCCACGATACAAGGAATCCGACGGCAAGGTATATTGCTTTGTAGAGTCTACCTTTGGCAAGGCGGGCTGGGAACTGCCGTTGACAGAGATGGAAATGCCGGCGGGTGAGAAGGCTTGCAGGTTCGTGTTATAGCTAGCTTACAAAGGCTTTCTTTTTTTTAACTATTCCGCTTTTTCACAGCTACTTTGGCGTCTTTCTTCTCGACGGTCAAGTCTGTCCAGTTTTGGCCGCCTACAAGGCGAAGTTGAAGACGACGCCGCCTTCGTTGGTGAAGAGTTGGTCCAATTTGAATGAAAGCGTTGTGCGTTTCAAGCGCGCACTCAGCAATAAGCAGATAAATACGCGTGATAAATTGCACGCCGAATGGGCGAAGGATCCGAACTGTAAGTTGTTTGCCTAACGCAGTGTTGTATTTGAGTATATAAATATTTTTGCTTTGCTTGTTGCAGATTTACTGGAGGAATATCAGAATATGCTCTACAACGTTTCCATTGCCGAACTGTCACCGAAGTGGCCGCCATTGGAAAGTTTGCAGAGTTGAAAGTTCGTGCGGTTTTGAATGTTTTAAAGTGTAATTTTCTTACAATTTCGTTACCGTTAGTTATTAAATTGGAAAAATGCTGTATATATTTAGATGTATTTACATGAAATATGTATTTATATCGCCTGTATGTGGTGCGCATAAGAAATATATTTTCGTTTGCAAACAAAACTAAAAAGTACTTTTTTTTTTCAATTACCGTTATTTTCGAAAAATTTGGAAAGCGAAAAAATCTATATATGTACTGTATTTTAGAGCTCAACATTCAAAAAAATGTTGAACTAGTTTTTTCGAAACAAATATTAAAACAGCTGTTACTGCTTAAAGCTGAAAATGAAGGATGAATATCCTTATTGTAAACAAAAAACAGTTTTCGAATATTTTTCGAAATTGCTCGAAGTTTTGAATAACTACAGCGAATAATTATTTGCCTTGTTTCAAACTCAATTCGAATTCAAAACTAAAAATTTTTTGCCTTTAAAAATCCTCAGTATTCAACCAAAAAAATTGAAAATTATTTAAACCATTTTTTCAATAAACAATTTTTTTTTATCATTTTTATTGGTTTATAAATTTTATACTTGTTTTTTTTTGTATTTTTTTTGTTGTTTCTGCTTATTTTTTGTTTTATTTATTTAAGTTTAAATATTTTAACTATTTATGATATGCTTATGCTTTTTTTTTATAATTTTTAACTTTTTTTGTTTTGAGGAGAAAAACATTTGTTTATGCATTTTACAATAAATTTCTTAAAAAAAAAAAAACAGTGAAATTCAATATATTTTTATTAAATATGCTTAATTTTAAAAATTTATTCTTGAATATTTATTTATTTTATTTTTAATTTTTTTCTATATGTATACAAACAGCGCAGCGCTTTAGAAGAGAAAAATATTGGTTACAGTTTTTTAATTTTTATTTTTTTTAATACTTCTTTTTTAAATTTTTTTTTTGGGAATTTTTTAACATTTTGTGAGTTGCATTTTGCTTGGCGGTGAATTTTTTTTTATAAATAGTTTAATAAAAAAGTGGAGGAGTAGGAAGGAGTACAGCTTAGTTTAGTAGATAAAGAGTAAGAGTGGTGAGAGAGAGAGAGAGAGAGAGATAGACATGGTGCGGAGTCAGGCGTGAAAACAGGCATTCACGGCGAGGAAAAGTTTTTATTATAAATAGGAGAGAAAATTTTTTTTTATTATTTTCTAAAAGTGTTTCTTAACTTTAGATTTTTCTGTATAAAAAATTTATTCTTTTCAAATTAACGTATTTATTTAAATAAATACACTTGAAAAAAAAATATTTTGCAAACCGATTCATACTTTAATATTTCTTTTTTTTAATTAATAAAAATATTTTTTTTTTAATTAATAAAAATATTTTTTCTTAATTAATGAAAATATATTTTTTTTTTATAAAAAATGTAACTATTTTGAAAACTAATATTATAATCATTTTAATAAGCAAAAGTAGTTTATTTTGTTTGTAATTTTAATAATTTAATTTTATCAAAAACCTGATTTTGAACAGTTTTGAAATTTGCAAACTAATTGAAAAAAATTAATTGTTTTCAAATTTATTAACTTTTTATTAAATTTTTGTATTGGGAATTTATTCATATTTTTATTTAATTTTTTTTGGTGTTTCGAAAAATATTTGTTTTTGTAACAAAAATAATTTGAATTTTTGAGTTAAAATCAAATATTTATTTTTGAGTATATTAATTTAGAAAAATAAAATTTTACTGTTTCAAAGATTATTTACTTTTGTATTAAAACTCAACACGTATTTTTTTTTATTTATTTTTACATTTAATAATAAGTTTTCCAAAAAAAAAAACGGCTTTGAAAATTATTTGTTTTTATGTTAGTTTTTGAATTGAAAATTAATTTATATTTAATTTAGAAAAAAAAATTCAAAACTATTGTTGATAAACAAAATTGTAAAGTAAACGTTTTTGAACTCTTCGTTTTGAAAAGATATTAATTTATTTATTTTTCTATTAATTTGTATATATTTTTCATAATTTTTGCTTTGAAAAGCTTATTTTTCATTTTTATTTTTAATTTTATATTTGAAAAAAAAAAAAAAGAATTAGTACTATAATTTCGTCCTATTCTAAAATTTTGTGTGTATGTATATGTAATTTTTGAAACTTTTTGTGTTGTTGTAAATTTTTTTATACTTCGTACGAACATATACATATATAGAAAGTTGGTAGTAGTAGTTGTAGAGGTTAGGTTTTGAAACAAATATCCCTTTAATTATATCTTAATATATAAATGTAAGTATGTAAATGTTAAAGTACAATAACTTGTGGAATCTCTTTGGGTTTTTGTTTTTGTTTTAATATTAATTCTCAACATATTCATATGTTTATTTATAAAAAATTTTCAAGATTATATATGCATACATATACATACATATGTATTGTATATAAACATGTAGAAGTACATAAGCATACATATTAATACATATATATACACATAATAAATTACGGTCAATAACATATGTATATTTATTAATTATATAGTATATGCATATATATTTGTTTAAGGACATATAAAAATTGGTTGTTAAAGGGTTAATATTTGGGTAACTTCTGCTTTTCATATAATGTTTTTTTCAATACACAATCCAATATTTTTTTATTATTAGTTATTTCTTGCTTATTAATAGATATACATTTTTTTGTGGGGTAGGTATGTTTTCTTTTTGGTATTTTTTTTATGAAAAAAATTAAGTTTAAGAATTATTTGCAATTAATAAAACTGTTATTAGGTTTTTGAAAGAGTTAAATTCATTAGGGTTTTGTGAAGTCGTAGAAAGTTTAAAAAAATATTAAATAAATTACAATTGTCAAAAAATGTTGTCCTAAAATTTTGGGACACCAAAAAAACAACTGCAAAACCCCGTTGGCTTTAAAAAATTGTGAGAATAATAGTTAAAAACCCCAATAGTGTTTGGGACATTTAGCGAATTTTTATTATTTCAACTTTTTGTTTATTTTTTTAGCTTTAAAAATGAGTAAAACATTTAAAATTCGCAAAAAATTGCTTGAACGTTTTAAATATGATGACCCAAAATTTTTAGGCAATAACAACAAAAATCAATATTTCAAAATTATTTGAACTTCATTTTTGAGACACCGGAAATAATGAAACTAGTGCAAAATATTTCGTTGCTTCACAAATACATACTTCGATTGTGTTTTTCTAATATAAAAAAAATTTGCAATTAATTAAAAAATTAAAAAAAAAAAACTTGAAAAATGTCTATTTGTCCCAAAAAACGTTAGTGCTACAAAATTGTTTTAAAATTCACATGCCGTTCGAAAAATGCATAAAATACGCATAACTGACAAGTAAATTGTTGCCTCAAAAAATTTCGGACAACCATAAAAATTTACAAAATCCCAAATGATGTGCGCTGAATATTTTAAAATTTATTTTCATCATTTTTAACTGTTTTAAAAAAGTGTCCCAAAATTTTTTGTTGTCCCAAAATTTTTTTGGATTTACCAAATTGTTTGAAAAAATGTTTTAGGTATAAACAAACAGTATCTTGAGCATTATGTGCCAGTTTTTTGCTTCATTGAGTGTTCCAGTGCACTATAAGAGCTATGCTAAACTTTTAAAACATATAAGTGAAAATGTAGAAAAAATGTGTATTTTGTAATTTTAGCCAAACCAAACAAACACTCTCTTTTTAAATATAAGCGAAAATAATATTTCCTATTAAAATTTCACCTAACCCCTTATATGTAAGCACTTTTAACTTTCTTTATGCTAATTTGCCCAATTTTAAGTTGGAGCGCTTTTAAAGTTTGATTTTGTAGTACTTTTTACCTAATTCTTTAATTAATAGTTGTTTTATACAATATTTATATATGCATATATGTATTAATGTAGGTATATGTACAGATTTTATTTAATAACAAAATTCAACTAGATTTTTTTGTCCAAATTAAACTTTTACTTTATACTTTTTTTGTGGGCCTACAAAACTAGTTTGTAACCATTTGTTGTTAATAATTTCAATTGTTTTTTTTAACTCTTAACACAAAAAATATTTATAAACATTTTTACTAATCAAATTATATTTTTTTATTTTTTGTTTTTCTTCTTATAAATATTTTATTTATTTTCTTCCTTATTTATATTTAGTTTTATTTTTATATCTTTATCCTATAACTCGCTGTGTTTTTGCACTAGCCGATTTTTCCATACCCCTGCGTTTCATTACTGGTTTTTATTCAGTTTTGGTTTTATGCAATTATTTATTTCACTTTTTTATTAAAATATATTTTTATTATTTTTTATGTATTTTTTTTTGAGTTAGGTTTTTATAGTTAAAGTGTAGAAAAAATCAGTCTAATATTTTAAGGCAACGTGAGAGCTTTTTTCCAATTTTTTATTATAAATTTTGCCATTTTTCTTTAGTGAATTCTCGAAAATCCTTCAGTTTGTTTATTACGTACTTTGATGTGGAATGCAATGTGCAATTCTAAATGATTTTCGTAAATGAGTCAAGAAAGTTAGAAACCCTTAAAAATAAAAAAAAAAAGATTATTAAAATATAATTAATAATTTAATAGAATAAATAGTTTTATTTTTTTAATTATAACAAAATTAAATAAAAAATTAAAATACATGGAATAGAAAAGTTAAAATTAATTAAAAAAAAAAACAAAAAAATTAATAAAAAAAAAACAAAAAAATATATTAAAATAAACAAATTTTTTTAAATTTAATTAATAATTAATAAATTAAGAAAAATATATTTCATCATTTAAAAAAGGAATAACAGAAAAACAAAAATAAACATTTATCAAAATATTCGAATTTTAATATAAAACTACTAAAAAAGGATGAAAAAACTTATTTGTTTTGTTAGTTTTTTGTTATTTAAAAAAAAAAAATCTAAATTTTTTCATTAATGTTTTTTACTCATTTATGTCTATCATATAATTTTTGCTTTTATTCCACATTTTGCCATTCCTTTTTTTTTTTTGGAGGAATTCAACATTTTAAGCTACAGTGAGATAGTGTATTTTTTTTTTAAGTTTCTAAATTTCTAGTCAGTTTATATATTTTTAGTAATTTCAAATGTTGGTTAATGCTGCATAATTCCCAACAGAGTTTTTTTTTTATTTCTTAGTTTTCTAAATTTTATTTTATTTTTTTGATTTATTTAATTTTTAAAACTTTATCTTTTTATATATGTATATGCATAATTTAGTTTAAATGTTGCAAATGTCTTTTAAAAACAATTTACTGCTAAAAATGTTGCTCAAATGAAAAACTGTTTATTAAATTATTTTAGGTTATGTAACAATATTTTAAAATTTTTTATTTATTTTTTCTAAGAAAAGGTAGAAAGTAACTAACAAACAAATAAATAACAGTATAAAAAAGAAAATAAATTTAAATAAAAAATAATAATTAAATAAATTAAATTTAAATAAAAGAATAAATAAAATCAAATAGAAAGAATAAAAAAAGATAAGTATAATAAAAAATTAATATAAATGAATAAAAAATATATAAAATACAGAATTAAAATAATTAAATGAAATGAAATTATGCAAAAACTAATAAAATAAAATTGTTTAAAGGAATAAAATTAAAAAAAGGAAAAAAATAAATTTTTTTTTTTAAATTAAAATAGCAAATTAAATTAAAGAAAAATAAAAGAAAATGAAACAGAAATTATTAAATAAGAATAAAAAAAAACAAAGGAAAATTTAACAATAAAAAAAGTAAAAAAAAAATATATAATTTAAAAAAAATAAAAAGGATATTTAAAATTAAAATAAAAAAAAAATTACATATTTGTAAAATATATCAATAATAAAATAAAGAAAAATATAAAAGAAATCAAACAAAAGAATAAAGTTGAAAAAAAATAAATAAATAGAAAGTTAAAAATATGTATTATATATAAAAAATTTAGAAAAATTAAAATTAAAACTAACATTAAATATTTAATATAAAAAAATAAAAACAAATAAATTTAAAAAAGCATAAATTGAAAAAAAATATGAAATAAAAAAAATATATAAAATTAAAACGGTTTGAAAATTAAGAAAATAATATAAAAAAATTTAAAAAAATATAAACAAAAATTTCAAAAATTAAATATATATTAATATGTATATAGAAAGACATAAAATTTAAAAAATATTAAAAAATTATAAAAAATATGTATATTGAAAAATATAAAAACAATACATACATAAAATTTAAAAAAATACATTCTTGGAATTAAAAAAAAAAAACATATATTAAATTAAAAAAATTCATACAAAAAACTAAAAAATACATATATAAATTAAAAAAAAAAATACATACAAAAAAATGCATATATAAAATTAAAAAAAAAATACAAACAAAATATTAAAAAAAAATACATACAAGAAACTAAGAAAAATACATACATAAATTAAAAAAAAAAAATACATACATAAATTAAAAAAAAAAAAATACATACATAAATTAAAAAAAAAAATACATAAATAAAATTACAAAAAAATACATACTTAGAATTAAAAAAATACCTACATAAATTAAAAAAAATATATATATACATAAAAATAAAAAAAAATAAATACAAAAAATTAAAAAAAAATACATACTTAGAATTAAAAAATTAAATACATAAATTAAAAAAAAATATATATACATAAAAATAAAAAAAATACATACAAAAAATTAAAAAAAAAATACATACAAGAAACTAAGAAAAATACATACATAAATTAAAAAAAAAAAAATACATACATAAATTAAAAAAAAAAAAACATAAATAAAATTACAAAAAAATACATACTTAGAATTAAAAAAATACCTACATAAATTAAAAAAAATATATATATACATANCATCTATATATATATATACATATCTATATATATATATATTTATATGTATAGTAAGATTTTACACAATTTTCTACAATAATTATTATGTTTCCTGTTTTTCTTTGTTTTTGTTTTTGTTTTTTATTTTATTTTTGTTTTTTTTTTGATTCTTTGCTTACACTTACAACAACCTTACGTAATTACAAAAAAAAAAATAACTAAAATATTCAAATTAAGCACTAATTTTTAATGTATATATATATATGTAGGTAATTACAATTAAATAGTTAAACTTACAAACGAACGGTTTTTGTTTTCTCTCTCTGTTTCATTTTCATTATAGTTTTTTTTGCTTTTTAATTTTTAAATTCAACAACTTTTTTATTTTTCGTTTTTATACTTCACTTTTTACACATTTACGCCATTTCGGCCTACGCGTGTGTGTGTGTGTGTGTTTGTCTAACTTTTTGCTGTCTCAACAACTAAATAATGTATTTTACTAACACCGTTATGTCATATTTGCTTACTCCCAGCTGCTGCTAAACCTCGCTATACTCTGGCAGTGCGTCCGACTCAAGCTGCGCCACGCGGGCGCTGTGCTCTGGCTTCACCTGCTCAGCATCAGTTCTCTCTTGCGTCGTCCGCAGCGCTTCCGCGCTCAATGTCTCGGTACTTTGCTCTTCCGTCGGGCACTCAGCAGTAGTTTTAACTTCTTCCGGCTGCGTCGTCACTTCACGTAGTTCCCCCTGCGCGCTGTGGCTTTTACATTCCTCCTCCGCACCACGCGTTTCTTCACGCTTTGCTTTCTCCGCCTGTTTGAGCTCGGCATCTTTGTGCTCGGACATAAGTTTCCACATATTGAAGAATTGCTCGCGTCGCTGCATTTCGTAGTTGAGCAATTCGGCTTCATCTTCAGAGCTGCTGCTGCTTACTGCGCGCATTTGTATATTTGCGCTGTTTACACCAGCTGTCGCTGATACGCCACTAACACTCGCCATTTCGCCGGCGCTCACGGCACCACCTTCCGCCTTCGTCGCGTCGTCATCCGTGTAGGCATCTATGTCGGCACCAGCAGCACTCAGCACGCTGCTGCCCATCAGGTGTGAGGTGGGCGATTCAAGGCTGCTACCGAGTATTGGCGTTAGACCCTCGCCACGTGCATGGTGTACCCGTTCTTGTTGCAGTTCATCCAGCTCATGTAGTTCGTGCTGCACGGAGCTGCGTCGCGCATTAACTGCGCGCATCGCGACAAGTACACCTGCCGCCGCTGTGGCCATCTCCTCTTCCTCACTGAGGCCGTCATCGCCATCACGTTCCGGATCATATTCCCGTATACCGAATTCGCCCACCGGCACATAAAAGCCATTTATCGCGACCAAGTAGACAACTCGGCTGAAGGGTGAACGGAAGAGTAGATCGCGATGGCCGGGCATCCAAAAGTGTACGACGTAACCGACCATGCCCGTACAGGGTAGCCAATCTTTCCAGGCCAGTCGACCGCCTTTGGCGCGCATCTCCTCGCTGGGCCAAAACATGTTGAAGCGACGTACGATATCGATGCGATCGTAGATCTGGGTAAAGAGAAGGGGAAGAAAAGGAATTAGTGCTAATCTCATTTTATGCATTCCATTTGTGTTTTACCTCATAGTCATCGATGATGACGACCTTTTTGTAGAGCCCAATGCGCGGCACATGACCTGCTGCCGCTAGAGACGCCACCATGTCAGCGCTATTTGATTTGCCGCACATCTCGGGCACGCCACTACGTTCGTTTGCGGCACGTGCTGCCGCCGCCGTCAGACTAATTGGTCCTTTGGACTTACGCGGATAGTCACCGGGCGTTGTTATAATGCTACCTATGCCGAGGCTACCGGAGGAGCTTGACATTTTTGCGTAGCGTGGACTGCTGCTACTTGGCTGTAACTCACCACCACCACCAGTACCGGCATGGGACTCAAGCTGACGCGCAGACTCCGCTGCCTTTGCAGCCGTCGCACCCGCACTGCTACTGGCCTCTGAATTGCTCTCGACGCCGCTGGTGTTAGCGATTGGCAAAGTGACGCGTCGTTCGCGCTCGACTCGTGATAATGAATGTGAGACGCGTATGCCGACACCTCGCAACTGTTCCCGTTCGCGCTCGTGCTCCTGTTCGCGTTCACGGTTCAACAGGCCGGCGAGTAGCGCAGGTTTCGCAGTCACGACAGGACAACGCCATAATGGTGTTACCACTGCGCCATCGCTGCCAAACTGCGTGCTGAGTGTGGCGCCCACACTGGTTGGCACTGTAACACCATGCACCGGCCGACAGCCAAACATGTTGCCCACTGTGAGGGTGTTGTAAAGCGGGGCTGAAATGTATATTGGCGCAATGTCGCCGCCAGACTCCCCGCTTCCCGCCGCCGTGCTGCCCATACCGCCAGCTAGGCCTAGGCCAAGGTTGGAAGCCTCCAGTGCCGAGCCGGAGCTGCAGCCCTGACGGCAGCGTTCACGTATGCGTTGCCACCAATCGAGTACGTTTGATTTGATGGACTCCAGTGTGATGGCTCCACCGATAACTTTGCAGAGTTGCTCATTCGTGTCCGCGTAGGAAGTAGTAAGCGGGGAGACATAAATAGGGTAACCGATAGGTTGATCACAGCTAGAATTGATGATGTTACGCAGCGCCTGTTTGGCGTTTTGTATGCTGCCACGTTCGGGGTTGCGATTGCGCAGGTAGATGAGCTCTTGTTGCTGGCCCGCCCACAAACCACGCACGCATTCGCGATTGAGCTTGATAACGCGGAAGCTGAGGAAACGCTTGGTCAGCCTTATAATACGGTATTCGTCCGAACCGTCCTCCATGACGTGACGCAGGGCGAGCAAATTGGGCGCGCCTCTCAGCACAGCGCTGCGCCAAACGGGGTCAGCCTCGTGTGAAATAACAAGATCCTTGGCGCATGTGTCTATCGCTTCGTAGAGTGCATCCGGATAGTGAAACTCGTCCGGGTTCGAGATGTGATCTTGTTGAAGTTTCAGCGCCATCTTCACAGCGGGCGCTACTACAGCGTGCAAAAGCTCCATATCGGCGAACACCCATTCATCACGCGGCGATTGAATTCGAAAGTCGCCTTTGAAAAGTTGATGTAAGCCATGCAAAAAGAACTCCACACCCGTCAGCGAACTATGTGAAGCGTTGGCTAACGAGCGACGCGCCAACAGCCCTAACGCCAAACAGAGCGAAACTATTGGTGAATCTTTCGACACACTTGGCACTTTCAACTTTAGTGTTGGCCGCTCCCGATTGGTTTCTTCTGAGGCTGCGCGCTCCGTTCCACCAGTTCCACCGGGATTAGCTGTTGTCGTCGCGTTTGCACTAGCTGTGGGTGAGACTTCTTTGCGTAGCGATTTAAGTGTCGCGCCGCCAGCTCCCACCGTCTTGCCGCGCATTTGTTGACCCAATGTAGGCATCTTCGCCGCCGCTGAGATGCTCGCGCCCACTGTCGCCGCGCTATTTGTAAAGCTGTTATCGAGTGGCGCATGTGTACTGCCGGCAGACATATAACCACCGCCCACCGAAAGCCCAGCACCGCTCAGACCTGGTGCGGACTCCGAAGTCTGACGCGAGATATTAGCGAAAGACGGTGAAATAGCGATGTGCTCTGAGGAATTAGTTGTTGTGCTGCCGCTCATTGTAGCGCTCTTCTGGTGACGCGTGCGCAATTGCTGTTGGGACTGCGACTTACTCGCCGTTGCAGTCGTGGAGAGATTTGGTGTGCTCTTCGAGTCGTTGTATGCGTTGCTATTGCTGTTATTGTTGGCGGAAGCCGTGGGTGTGTGTGGTTGCGGTGGTGGTGGCGGAAATGATGGTGCCCCACTCGTAGTGTTTGCTGCTGTGGGCGCCGCTGCTGGATTCTGACTCTCTTTCCGTTTGTCAAAGCAAAAGTTGATCCAACTGAGGTAGACATAACAGAAGCTGGAACGCGTAATGCCCACGGCACGAAAATCAAAATCCTCATCGAGGTTGTAGTTAAATATGGGATCGAGATCGACAAACTGACGACTGAGCGTATGCTGCAATGCCTCCTGTATGGGTGCTGAGGCGAGCCAGTGCTCCAGCTTCGGATTCTTGATCACATAGTATATGATACTCTACAAAGAGGTTTTTTGGTGAATTCAGTTTTTCAAAGAACTAAGCTTGAGCTTACCTTTATGTAGTAGGTGATGAGCACTTTGCGATACTCAAAGACCTGCAGCGTGGCACTCGCCAAGTTATCTGATATCGAATAGCCCTCGAGCACATACTGAGCAGCGACTACTTGCCAGGCGAGCCAACGCGTCGAAAACATTGCATTCACGCTGAGCATGCGCGGTAAATGGCCCGGATCGCAGCAGCAGCAGCCGTCATTGTCCTCCACATCCTCCGTGATGGCCTCCACTTCACGTTGCTGGCAGTAGGTACCGCGAAACTCTAAACCACGCATCTGGAAGGTGCACAGCCCATTGCCGAGCTCTATGATGTGCACCAGACAATTGAGGTAGTCGGAGGCGAGCACTGTGCGGAGCGAGACATGAGAATTTTAATGAAGAAACCCCTTAGGAGCTCCTAAAAACAAATGCAACTCACCGAAACAATCGCCCTGATTCACATTGCCCCAGCGACCCATTAGAAGATCGCCACACAGTGAGTGCTGCAGTGAACGCGTTAAATGCTCGTAGAAAATGCTATTCAGATTATTATCGTCTGCGCCTAGATCGCGCTCCAGTTGCGAACTTAGCCGGGTGTTGGAATGGTCGATGCGTCGTGTGTTGTAGTCGCGTTCCCAGAATTTAATGGGACGTACGTAGGAGGTGAGAAAGATGGCGCTGCCGAGGAAGGGATTGAGCGGTGTCGAGAGTATGGCTGAGACGCCGGCCTGTAGGAAGAGCATGGCGGAGTGTGGCACACTGAATGGTTGCGCGAAGGCATGAAATGCGGAGCCCCAGGTGATTTGCCATGGCGCGATGTAGGTAACGATGAATTGTAGCTATTATGTGGAAAAGAATGAAAAGAAAAACAGAGATTTAGAGATCGCTAGTCTAACTCCCTTCGGTGCTTTAGGTCGTATTGAATTTCTTCCAAGTCTCGAGTGCGTCTAATGTCACGTAAGGATCTAATGAGATCAACAAAATTCCCGTTGCAGGATATTCAAGGAACCGAGTTCGGAGGATCTCAGTTTTGTACGACCTCTTTCTCCCCCTCTTTGACATATTACCTTTAGAAGAAAATCACAGCACTTGCGAAAGGCCAACGACATGAAAAAGTAATCGATGAGGAACGTCTCACTGGCAAAAGCGAAGTCGTAACGAAAGAACAAGACGGTGAACACAACAATGAGATACTGATTCGTAGGATCCGAGTAGGCGTTGCGAATCACTAAGTAAGAAATAAAGGAACTTAAAGAAAGGACTTTCAAGACTCTTGGGCATTCTCCAACCGAATCGAACTTACATTTCAGCGCGCACACCGCCACAATCAACGTGCCCCATGGTATGCCGAACTTATCGCCAATTATCTGCGCATCGGCGGTTACGGCCGAGATCACCAGCAGCGGAAACATCACATTGCGCTCCAGCATGCACAGGTAGATGTAGACCTTCTCGAACCACATTACTTTCGGCGCATGCGACACTTCGAACTGACCGTACTCCTTCTGACGCAGCAGGGGGCGCGCAAAGCAGAGCCAAGGCATATGTTTACGCATCTGCGGTATGATGTAGTGCAGGAGCAGTCCCAAACCGCCTGTGAAAGCGTAGAGCACAATATTGAGATCCGGTTGAAGCACAGTAAACACAGTACTGCAGTGTAGACCGAAGACTATAAGCGCCAGCAGCGTGGTGACCACCAGATCATTCTTAAGACGCATATTTACTGTGGCCTGCAATTTTCTCGGCAGAGGATCAGGCGTGTCGTTCTCGTTGTCGATATTCGCATTGGCGGCGCTCGTCGGCAGTGCTGATGGTTCTAAATCACCACAGACACCGCCGGCGGTCAGCGTAGAGATATCGCCGGGATTGGTTGTGGAAGAACTGGATATTTTGTCGTCCTCATCGGCTGCTTGTGGTTGTGTCTCAGTATCTGCATCGGCGAGATTAGCCGCAGCAGCCACCACAGTTTGTTGTGCTGCCTCCGTCGGCGTTGTAGCGGCCTGTTGTGCGGAGTCCTTTGCGCCGACCGTCAAGTTCAATGCGTTCGTTGGTGTTGTGACAACGGCTGAGCTACCTACATCAGTAGCTTCGGTCTCCAGAAGCTGCGCGCCACTACCATTTTCGCTCGTTGGCGCGACCTCTTGTGCGCTCTCTAAACCCATTGCAAGCGCGCCGCTGCCAGTAGCGCTGCCATTTGCCACCGACACGTATGAGTTGGATGTGGTCATGCCCTTTTTGTTGCTCGAAAGCGTTTTGGCGAGTGTTTGACTGCTGCTTGCCAATGAAGACACCTTAGATTTACTGCTCTTGCGCTCCATTTCGATATGCGTGCTTCCCAGCTCGCCGCGTTCACGCATTTCCGCCGTCAACTTTTCGTCCAATGCCGACAACTCGATTTGTTCGTGCGTGCGCGCGCTCGTACTTTTCGTACGTGCCTTCAGTGTGGTGTTCGTAGTGAGTTTTTGACTGCTCGCCGCGCTGCCGTCACAGGTGGCGGCGCTGAGCTCATCCTCATCGTCATCGTCGTGATAGGTGCTGACAATGCAGTTCTTGATGAGCGCCCACATATGACTGAAGTCGCTAGCTGAGCGCGAGAGATGATAGCCCAACGGCACAAGTATGGCGCAGAAAAGGGAGAAAACGATAAACTGTGTGCCGCGTCCTTCGGCAAGCGCGCTGAAAAGCGGACCGTAGAGCAGCATAACGCCGATGATAGAACGGACAACGCAGAGGAAGGCGCCTAAGAGAAAAGAGAGAGAGAGAGAGAGTAAAGTTACAATAGGCAATAAATATCGAGAAGCTAGGCACTTACCTAACAGACTGCCCGCCGCGTTGCCGCCAAAGACATGCATATCGATTTGCTCCAACAAGTACATCAGGAATGTATTGATCTGTGGGAAAAGGCCCAGCGAGAAGATGATGGGGAAGCATAGTAGAAACACGTACATCACTTGCAACACGGACGCAGTAAGCAGGAGCGGTGAGTAACGTATACCGAAGAAGTTCAGCTCTTCGGGCGGCGTGGGCTGTTGCTCGTATTCGCGCTTTAGATGGTCGCACAATAAGAGTATACCGCTACACACACAAAAGTAGATGGCACGCGAGTAGGCTACCGTCTTATTAAAGCCGTGTATGGGCGAGGCTGCGTCGGGTTGGACACTCTTCACGAGAGAATACTGAGCGCTCGCTATAACAGCACAAAAGAGAAACGCGAAGAGATCCTTGTAGTGCCCCAGCTGCAGTATGGTCGCACCGAGGTAGGCGACCATTGCGCATAACAACACCGCCAGCATTATATGCAGCCAATGCAGGTCACGATCGAAAAGTGCCAACAGCTCCAACCGGTCCATGGAGATTTTGAACTCGTGCTCGTAGCCACAACACTTGAAGCGATACTTGTAGTAGCTCTTCGGCGCCGCTGGCTTCTCCGTCGACAGTAGACATGCGGGGCGCCAGTAGTCGCAGTAACTTTCGATGTGATGGCCGTCCATGTTGAGTATGGCCGCGCCAGTGCCCGTATTGTTGCTACCACTACCTGAGCGCGCTTGTGACGAGCGTTGTTGACCTTCGTCGTTTAGCACATTTATCAGTCCCTGTATGGAGAGCCCCGCGCCGTTATAAACAGTGCGCGAGTTCAACGACGAAGATGCAACTACGACGCCAAGCGGCGCATGTAAGCTGCGCATTGGCGCCGCCGTCGCACCTGATTGGCTACTCAGTTGCGCCGACTGCAAATCATGCGCGTGTGAGAAGTCGCCAATGGAAGAGTTGCCCGGTTCGGAGATTTGTTTTGAGTTCCGTCGCGCTTTGTCACGGTAGTACATGCGCTCAGAGAGCCACAGCGAGTCAGTTGAGTTTGCGGGATAGGTATTTAGCGCCTGTATGGCGTCCTGGTAAAATTGGAAATGCGCTCTTGACATATTTGCAGGCGCGGTAGAGCCACCGCTGCCGCCTACAACGGTTGTTGTTGGGCGCCCTGCGCTACCACTCGACGTAGTAGCGTTTTGTTGCGCTCCCGCCTCGCTGGGGCGCCCATGTTCAGTCATCAACCAAAGCATTTTGTGTATGTCTGCGGAGAATGAGTCAGCGCTGATGCTACGCGACGACGTAGAGGAGGAAGTGCGTGACGCTGCCTTCGAGGTGGCGCTGTGATGTGCGTTGTATGGCACCAGTGACATTTCCGTGTACGTGCTAGCGGTGGCGACGACGCTACCACCGCGTCGTTTGTGCAGTTGTGAGCTGCCACCGCTGCCGTGTAATGTCTCGTTTACCTCGCGGTATTTTACGACCTTTGGTATTGCGCCGAGATTTTTGCCGCCGGAGCCGGTTGAAGGCTTCTTGCTGCCACATTCCAAATCCTCCTCCGCATCTTTACACACCTTCTGCGCTTCCGCTTTCGTTTTTGGTGGTGCGACACTCACAGCACCTTCCATGCCGGAGAGCAGCATATCCTTCGAACTAGCGCTCACTTGCTCGCAGTCGCTAGACGGACAACCGGAGTCACCTTCGCCGCGAGCTGCATGTTGCGGTCGCATCTCGTAGACATGTTGTGGTACAGCGACGTTCAAACCCAGTGGAACAGGTAAGTTTTTATGCTTCTGTAGGGCTGCTATTTCCATGTACATGTCCTGCTCAGCGGCTTTGACTTTGGCACTGCTGTGCTGCCAAGATTTTCCACTGAGCAGCGGTGAACGCGAGCCATTATTGTCCGTCTCCGAGTCGGTGGAATGTAGACGCTGGCGTAGAGTTTGTGAAGACGACGGTTGCTCATCGCCCAGCGCAGGCGCTGTCGTTGTACGCGAGGAGGGCGACCGTAACGATTGCCGTTGCTTGGCTGTGGGTTCGTCCACTTCATCTTCGCTATCGGCGGCGTAGACATGCGCCTTGCGATTGCTCTCTGCTGCCGATCGTTTCAAATCCTGTTGTATTTGCTCAAGCCCATTGAGTATGTGATCAAAATCATCGGTGAAGTCCGTCTTCTGTGGGCTACTGGCAGGCGGTGCGTCGCATGTTACAGATTTCAATTCCGCACTGCTCAGTCCATGCTCTAGATCGTCGTCAAAATCTTTGAATTCATCATCTTCGTCATTCTCCATCTCATCTCCGAGTATGTCGCCCACGTCCGATTCGACGCTGTGATGGTGACATCCTAACGCTTTGCGCCTGCGACGTATCGGCACATCGTCGACTTCGTCGTCGACGTTGTCATCGTCATCCTCATCTAGCTCAATATCATTCTCTACATTGCCCTCCTCAATGTCTTCGACCTCTTCCTCCTCCTCCTCCTCCTCGTCATCTTCTTCTTCATCCTCATCATCACAATCGTCTAGGTCAACATCGTTCAGCTCCAACGCGCACTCACTACGCTGCGTAGTCACATCCAAGGACGAGGCGCGCTCATCTGACTGTTCGACAATGGGTGACACCGGCTCTATGAGTGCCGTCGTCGAGCCACTGGTGCCGAAATTCAAACTGTTACTGCCACCACTACTGCTGCTGGCACCACCAAAACTGCCGCCAAACTTCGGACACAAATTCAAGTGCGCATTACGTACCAGAGACTTGCTGGGTGGTGGTAGCAAGGCTGACTGTGGATTTTTGATCATTTGCTGGCCATTAATTGCCTCCACACTGTTGGGATGTGGACTAAGGTTCGAGACCGAGGGCCGTGGACATGAGATTTCGAGAGCGGCGCTCTTTATACGACGCACTGTCGGCTGTTGGCCCGAAGCGAGTGCTGCAGCGGCTGATGACGCCATGGACTTGTGCAGTGCTGCACCGCCGCCACTGCTGCCAGCTCCTTTAAATAACGCCGTGGCGTTTGAATGACGTCGACGCTTCATACCACTACCGCTACCACCACTACTTGTCGCGCCCGATTTTTCACTGCCGACAGGTAGTTGCAGCGCCGACATGGTGCTATTCGAGTCTTTTCGTATGTTGGCCGCGCCGTGATGATGATGATGATGGTGCAGATGTGGGGCGCGATAGAACTGCTGTTGGTATTGCGGATAATGTGAGTTGAAGGGTTGCTGTTGCTGGAGGAGGTAAGCAGGGCGATTGTTTTTGCGGCCGTCGAGTTGTTCGATGCCGAAATCAGATTTCGTGTAGCTGTCATCGTCAATATAGACGTCAGAGGAGGAACCTGTGGATAATAGATATTAAATATTTTGTATAGAGAAAGTGGCTGCACTCTACTTACCAAGTATCCACGGTTGTAGTGCGCGCGCACGCGTATCCACATGCCCCGCTACACCACTTGCGCTACCGCCCAATCCGCCCAATTCCAAATCGTCGCCATCCAGCATATCGCCCACTATGGCGGCCAATGCGCTGCTACTGCTCGCGCCACTCGACACGGAATGCTGATGCTCGTGGTGTATTGGCAGGAAGAGATTGCGATTTTGTTGTTTCACGCGCTCGTCATGCGTCTCGGAACTGCGATGACGCTGCAAGCGCGTTCCTTTCACCGACGACAGTGCGACCGCAGGCGCATTCAGTGCAGCGCTACCTGAGGAATTCGTCAAATTCGTTGTTGCGGTTGGCGTTGCATTGGCGGTTGTGTTTGTTGTAGTCGTTGTGGCAGTTCGTTGTGTGGCAGCTATGCTAACGCTGGTGCCAAGCGCTAACCCCGCGCCCAGCGTTATATTGTGCGGCATCTTGGTTGCTGAAGAGTTTTTGCTCATCAATACGGTATTTTGTACGCTCTGGGGATGCAAAAATGTGTCGTTACAACGCGCTGCAGCACTCGTGGCAATTGTATCGGATTGATTGCGCATCAACTTGCTGGCAATGCACGATTCAGCGGCGGCATCTAAGCTGCCCTGGCGTTCCAGGCGTCGGCGTTGGTGGCGACGTTTAAATTCTTCTGAAGATTTTCGTAGTAAGTGTGGCAGGTGTCGGTGTGTAGTGGTGGTGGCGGCGGAACTCCCGCTAGGCGTTGCGCCGCCAGCGCTGTTGTGTTGTGCGACTGCATCTACGCTCGCCATATGCTCGCTTTCATGCTCCGGATAGACGCTAAGCGCGCCAGCGACAGGTGCTGTGTTTGATCGTATGGATTTTGTGACACTCAAAGAGCCGGCGATCGACTGTTGATCCTGCTGACTGTTGGCCGAAATGAGTGAGGGTGGATAGAAAAGCATTTCAATGGACTCGGAGCTATTTTTGCGATGCACGTCCACTTTTAAGTCTATGGTTGAGGAATTTTTTTTTTATATTATTTTACAATGATTTTGAGAATTTAATATTTTTTTTTTGTTTGTTTTTGCACTCACCAATTATACTATTCACATTCTCCATAGATGTCATGCTGTTCTCTTCGCTGGCTTCGTTGATGGCCTGCTCCACGGAATTGCGTGAGCCATCATTGCGCATCACTTTCATTTCAATGCCCGTCTCATTCTCACTGCAACAACAAAAACAACAAAATGAATAACGGTGTTAACAATACTTAACTTAATACTTAATCAAGATGATGTAGCAATGTAAGCAGCATGCTTTGTTGGCCAAATAAGGTCGCTAACGTACGTATTGTATATTATTTATGTATGTAAGTATGTATGCACACTTGGCGTGCTGTTTCACTTGCTTCTTGATGGCTGTTGTTTATAAACAAACAACACGCCACGCTATCTCGACCAAGCCACGCACACAGATACACACGCAGCTACAGTGCATAGCAGTGCTGTTAGTTCCCACAACCACCTCCCCACCTATACCCACCCACTCGCACTAGTGCAATCGGCTAGAGTTCGTAATCCTGTCTCATCTTTGCTTTAACCTTTTGGGCAGAGGACACCCCACATTATAAACAAATTGGCATAGTGTCGACATTTGTCGCACACACATACATGTATGTGTATATGTTTGTTCATGGGAATGTATTCACAACAATGCACGTGGCCTTGTGGCCTTAATCAAACTTTCTACCCATGAAACTCTTCATATTAGGTAGGAATGAATGTATTTTTTTTTTTCTTGCAATTGTAATCCGAGCAGTTTCTTCGATCAGAAGGTCATAAGGTGCATTTATTTTAGTTGAGAAAAAAATTATTATTTTATCATAATTATTACAAGATGTTTTTTTTTTGTTTTTGCTTTTTAAGTTTTTAGATTTTTTCCAATTTAATTCTTTTCTGCATTTTCGCTTAGTGCACACAATTCTCAAAGTAATAAACACGTTTTAAAAATCTTTTTTTTTTTTTTTTGCTAATTTTCTTTGCTTTTGTGTGCTTTGTCATGACAAAGTGAGAGCTTTGACCTGCTGGATTATCACACTTGCTCCATTATTTCACTTATATATGTACATACATATTTATTTTTAAAAACAACAATAGCTTATTGTAACAACAACAATAATTAAATAATTGCGTTATTTATATGTATGTGATAATGTGAGTCATGACAGGCTTAAGTGTGTAAGTTTGTTTCCATTGGGAACGATCGACAGTTAGTATAATTATTGTTGCCGATGTTGTAACAATTGTGTAAGTAGCAATAGATTTGCTTCAGCAACTTTAATCGAGACTATTAAGTAAATTTAATGCATTTTTAATGGTCAAGCCGGCGGGTAGGGAAAATATATATTTGGCACACTTTGTTGTTGTGGAAATTTCGAAATTAAAATTACACTTTATATTTCAATTAACAGGCGATATTTCCACATATATATTGAAAATCACTAAAAATAGCGTGAATACATAACTGCATATGCCCATCCGTTTTTTCTTAACACTCTTTTCGATATTTTCAAATATCCAGCTTGTTATATTAAAGTCACAGCACTGGCACACACAGCTAAACGAAAATTGGGCTGAAATGCACTTATATTTTATCCTTTGATCTGTTTATCAGGTATTGTTGATCATTACACTTCTATTTTTAATTAACAAACAAGCTTCTTCATAAGCTTTCACAACACATATGTATACGTCATTACCGTGGCTAAAGACACTCACCGAGGTTCCGTTTCTTTTGTGATTTTGAAAAATGGATTTTTGAGATTCGCCTCCGACATGGTTTGTGCCCGATCGTACAAGCGATGCAACGCCATATTGGCCAATTTTACAAGTAATATGGTGAAGCTTGTGAGTGTGCAGTAAATACACCATGTTAACCAAGTGCTTGGAAAATACTGTAACAAAAAATATTAATATTAAAAGGTATAGGGATTTATTATACATAGATGACATTGGCTTGTGGCGCAGCATAAGCAGACGGCGTGAGGCAAGGCGCGTCGCTATGTATAAACAATAATTTAGAAATTGTTTCGCACGGGCGCGTCAAATATTTCGCGGTGGCATGCAAATAGTACACAGCCGGTTTGATTTTTTATTTTCATTTTCGCAAGCACGTTTTTCTTATACTTTTTGTTTTGATTAACGTTGATGAATCGAATTTCGTAAGTGACGCACAAAGTTGCCTTGACGTCTCTTTTGCTTTCGCTGCTTGCCAATCGTCTGACCGCACTCATTGCATTGCCATTCGTTGTGCATTATACATACCAGATAAGCTACAAACGGTGAACACAGTAGGTACAACCAAAGATATAGATGAACTACATTACAGAAGACGCCTTGATGGGGATCGTAGAACCAGCCGCCAGTCAGCGAGGCCCACACGCCTTGGCGCAGTATCTCCAAGGTCTGTGAACCCATGTCAAACTAACAGGCATCTCCTGTACGGCCTGCCAAAGTCCAGTGGCACATAAGATAGCAGCCAAATTAAATGCACACGTGCATGCGTATGTATATATATGTAGAGATATATGTGCGTATGATACAGGTGTGTAGCGCATACAAGCCAAACGATTTGAGGACCGCGCAGGTTTGTGCACTTGAATTGTGTAATTTTCGTTGTATCTTAAAAAGGACAATGTTTGCGTTTGCCTTGAAATTTCACGGTCAGAAAAAAAAACACCTACAAAAGCTAATGAAATATGTAAGCAGGAAGCTTATGTGGTTTTTGCTGCCAATGCTGGTTGTTGTTGCTGCTGACTTAAAGAAAAAAAATATGTTTTTTGTTTGCCAGCCCAAAAGACTACTCTATTTCTCTTGATGTATGTGCAGCTAAACGCTTTAATATTTGCACCAATCACAACCACTTCTAATCGTAATTTTAATTTGATCGAATGAAATTAAATTTTTCCAAAAACACTTCCATTTGTTATGTGGCCTTTATTTGCTATGCTTTTCCTCTTGTGCTGCAAATTTTCCTTGCTAATTTTTCACTTTTCTCTCGGTTGCAGCATTACTTCAAGGTTTCAACTTAATTTAGTATCTATTTGCACTCTGTTCCATATTCACGCGGATTCCAATACGCTTACGAATAATATCAATGTTCAATTAATTGATTGGGCAATTAACTGCACTAACCCAATTGAAAATTTTTTAGATTTTTTCGCGTGAAAATTTTCCTTTATTTTTTTCCCGTTGGATTTCTCTGAATAATGAAATGTCAAAAACAGTGCCCATGATGCTTTTTCTTATTAGACTGGTGCGCTCACAGTAGTACTGTCAATGCTTGTTCTTTTTTACTTTGTAGCTCACAGTGGATATAAAAATGTTATGACATTGGATTTTTTTCCGACAAATTAAATTATATCAAATGCCAAATGTAAAAGTCATGCGAAAGGGGGAGGTCGATAATAACAGCATGACTTAGAGCACGTGAATCGAATTCCAATTATCCAGCGGGGTTGTACACGAGCAATCGGCGGGTTTATAGGAGCAGCAACAGATATCACAGAGCTCGTGGGGGGAACACCAGGATGAAATGAAATTTGTAAGCTGTGTTACATTAATGAGGCTAAACAACAAATTTGGGGACTTTTATCAAAGCAAATTATTTAAGAAATCGTCGTGATTTAATTTACACAAAATCGTGAAAATATTTAATGTGAAAGAAGTGAGAATATCTCAAACTAAACTCCAAATATAATATATCCTTGGATCAAGCGAACAACTGTTCATAATATACTCTATTTTCATCCATTTCCAACTTCATTAGAACTTTTCTTTTATAAAAATATTTATTTCCTTTAAAGTGAGTTTGATGTCCTGATTTGATTTAAAATTAAATAATACATTTAATTTCAGTTACATTGCTACCCAAAACATTTTAACATACACCTTAACATACACCTATTCTAGCTTAAACTAATTATAACTCATGGCTTCAACCGGCTGCCTCGTTAGCAGTAGACATCATTCAACTTTCATGGCTCTCCTCCTTGTGCTCGTACTGATGATGATGGTGTATGTGCTCTTCCTCCTCTTCGATGATCGGATGTATATGTTCGTGTTTCTCCGAATGATGATGTTTATGCTCGTGTGAAATGTGCTCCTTATGTATGATCGGATGATGTTCTTCATGGATGACTTTTTCTTCTTTGATGACAATCGGCTTGTGATGATGGTGAATATGCTTTACGACGGTATGCGTATGCTTTTCGATCTTCTTGTGTACCGGCACATGAATAGTAACCTTCTTTTTCTTTTGATGACCGCTAGAAAATAAAAGAGAGAGAGAAACAGACTCAAGAGTGAGAAAATGAGAGATATATAGAAATAAGGAGGGAGCGCTTAGAGCAAATGTACCGCAGAGTTTTAAATACGCACAAATGAGGGATTCACAGCTCCGGCTTGTCAATATTTTTAATATAGAATTTTTAATATTTATTAATATAGAGATTTTTATTTACTCAAAAAGCTTACTAAGCTTTCAACATATTGCTTAAGAAATCCGTTTGATTTCTTCTGTTGTGAAAGTAGTAGATTTAATCAATCGTTATCTATTGTGAATGGCACACGAGGAAGAACAAATATTCCATCAAATGAAATAAACGATTTTTTCCATTTTCCCGGTTTGGCTTTGAAAAAATGTTTAAATTAATTGGAGATCTTAATATTTAAGATGAGTGAGTTAAAAGAAGAATGATAAAATTTATGTGACACCCACAGTTTTCGTCATGCGACGGAAACTTTCATTTAAAGCTGTTCGCGTTAACTGAGATTTCGGAAATGAGTGAACAACTTATTAATTGTAAAGTTAAACTAATTGCCAGAAGATCAATTTTTGGCAAATTTTCACTTTTCCAGCTGCCTTAAAATAAGTTTCGCCTTCATAGTTCCCGGTTACATTTCCTGAGTTCCTTCTCGGCGTTCCTGATACTTACTTGGCATCCGCGCTCTGTCTACAAACCAAGACCAGCAAAACAATGACAATGATCACTTTCAGCAGCTAACAGTATAACAAAATGAAAATTGAAAGTTAACAGTTTTTTATGTACGAAAATTTCATGCGTTCCTCACCATACGTCTACGACTCATATTCATGCCGTTTATAAAATAAAAATCAAATTGGAACACTTTTCCTTCTTTGGAGAACAGAAAGATTATTTAATGTGAATTTTATTGATGGACGTATGTACGCACGCTTTGCTTTAAGTCTTCTAAATGAGTGTTGGCCCAGTTGGCAAAAGACTTTTATAACATGCAAACCGCTGAAGGCGCATAACGAAGATGGTGGACAAGGCAGCGAAGTAGAGCGTGTGGACGAAGAGCGCTCAAACTAAAGTGGAACGGCAGAAAACATGGAATTTGGGTAATATTTGCTTCCTTCAAATGATTGGCATGCGATTTTCATATGTGTGTGAGCGAGTATAAGTGTAGGTGTGTTAGAAATTTAGGCGCCAGCACGAACAGCTGTAACGTAATCGACGCTGCGCATGCGCAACCGAGTGAATCAGTGCTCGAATGTATGTATAGCCATCAAATTATAGGCATACATAGTATACATACATATGTATATACATATGTAAGCATAAACAAATCGAAATACTGACGGTGGGTGGGTGTATTTCGAGCAATTTTTCGTCTAATATAAATACATATACTCGTACATACATATACATATATACTTTTATTGCGATTTGAATACAAATATTTTCTTTTATTTCCTCTGCATAAACATACGTGTATGTATTGAGCCTAATTATGATACTTTATCTTAATATTTTTTGTTTTATAATTTGTTTTTGTTGCTGCTTTCGCTAAGCGGAAGCTCATGTTAAGCCTATCGAAAAGTCAGCCAACGGAAATGCTTTAGTTAAAATAAATAATTAAGTTAAATTGTAAACGGAACAGAATTATCGAAATAATGAAATCATATTCACACATATATGTAGGTGTGTGTCGTGTGCACATATTTAAAATAACTGTAGCTTATTTAATATCTTGACTTGGCGAAGAAATGGGAAACAGAGTCGCTCTGCAATGAACATTTGTACACCGATAAGTGTGAAAATAATAATAAAGTTAAGAAAATAACATAAGCGAAAATTGAAATAAATAAAATATAAAAAAAATTGAGTTACTAAATAAAAGAAAAAATTTTAAAAATCGTAATTAAATAAAAAAAAACATAAAACAAAGCAAAGTAGAAAATATAAAGAAAATTTTCATATAAAAAAAAACTAATAAATAAATAAAAATAAAATAAAGTAAAACCAAGCGAAAAAAGAAAATAAATAATAAATAATAAAATTAATCTAAATAAAAATAAATAATTAAAAAAAAAAAAAAATAAAATTAAATAGAAGGAATTATGTAATAAAACAAAGCGAAAAAAGAAAATATTAAAACAGAAAATAAATAAAATAATCAAAATAAAATAAATATGTAAGATAAAACAAAATCAAATGAAATAAAAATTAATTAAAATAAAACCAAGCGAAAAAAGAAAATAAATAATAAATAATAAAATTAATCTAAATAAAAATAAATAATAAAATTAATCTAAATAAAAATAAATAATTAAAAAAGTAAATAAAATTAAATAGAAGGAATTATGTAATAAAACAAAGCGAAAAAAGAAAATATTAAAACAAAAATCAATAAAATAACCAAAATAAAATAAAAATGTAAAATAAAACAAAATAAATTGAAATAAAAATTAATTAAAATAAAACAAAGCGAAAAAAGAAAATATTAAAATAAAAAATAAATAAAATAACCAAAATGAAAAAAAGGAAGATAAAACAAAATAAAATGAAATAAAAATTAATTAAAATAAATTAAAGCGAAAAAGAAATAAAATGTAATAAATTAAAAAAAAAAACTACAAAGTCAAATCTGAAGTGTTAAAACGAGATTTTAATGAACAAATTATTTTCAAAATTATAATAAAAAATATTTAAAAAGTTAAAGTTTATAAACATCAAGCCTTTTTTATAACCGTAATGAACCCAAAATGTGTCTGTTTTGTAACAGACAATTGGATTTACATGCTAATAAAAATACAGTTACATTTATACGTTAAAAGTACAATATTTATTTAATAATTTATTAAATTTCTTCAAATTAACTTCGTGACTTAACCGATAAGATGAAAGAAATTAAAAAAAAAACTAACAATAAAAACAAATGAATATGCTTTTAATTAGCTTATAGAAGAAATGCTCAAAACTGTATAAAAACACATTAAACCAAATTAGAGTACGCATGAGATGTTGAGAAAAATGTTTGCGCAGAAAAATAGAAAGAAAAAAAAAAAACAAAAATAATAATTTTAAAGAAATTAAAAAAGCAGGGCCAAATATATTAATTACGTATACCATAAAATTACAACAACAGCAAATTTCAGTCAGTCGCAAGTAGCAGAAAAGCTAGGAATTCATTTCACATGCGTGCTACCTGCCGCGTTTAGGTCACTGTAGAAGGAGTGAAGAGTAAAATAATGAGAATAAAATAGAAAAGTGGAAAAATGGTAAGTAATAAGCTTCAATGAAGTTTTCTAGCACTGCTCCTCGTCTTCCTCTTCTCCATTTAGCGTGAAAACTTGCCAGCGAGATGAATGACTTCACTAATAGCTTGTGATGCCTGGGTGATCGATGTGCCTCTACGCATGCATATATGTATGTGTTATGTGCGTGTGAGGAAAGAAAATCCAGTGATAGTACTTTAATTTGTTGTTGTTTATTATTATTATTTTTTTTTTGGATGTGACTGGTAAATCAAGTTATTTGTGAATTTTGTGCCACACAAAACTTTCAACTTAAAATATTCTAAGCATTTTTTACCGGCTTTTTGTGTACCGTTGTTTTTAGCCGCTATGCCCTGCAGTGTCCCCTTGCGTTGCACTTATATCATAGTTAACATTTCTTTCAGTTTTTTTTCCTTTGCTTCTGCAACTATTTCTTTTATGCGGCTGGATTTTCATACATACATACATATTTAGTCTAATATTTCATGATGTTGCATGCGAGTTGCTACAAATTATTTTTAATTACATTTAATATTAGGTCAGATTGATGGGTTAGATGCATGCAGATTGCATGTCTGCGTGTGTGTCATAAATCAAAAATCTTTTTTTGTTTTTTTTTTTTTTTAATTTGTGTTTCCCTTTGCAGCCATATGCAAATTGTGTGTTTAAACTTTCCATAAACTGAATTTTTTATGACTCATGTCAACATTTTGAATTTTTTTTTTCATAATTTAAAATACAGTGGGCGCAGATGATCCATTTATTACAAATTAATATGTAATTGTTTTCAGTTGAATTTTTTTTTGCACGACTTTTTTTTACAGAAATTTTATATGAAGGTTAGTTTATAAAAAAAAATTTGGTTTTGCGTTTGTGTTCAAACTGTATGTATCCATGAGAAATTCCCATTTGGCTTTTATGTTGATTTTTGTTATTTTTTTAATATTTTCCCCTTCAATCTCTATATTATTTTATATATTTTTAATTTTTTACCTTTTAAAATTTGTTAAAGGTTTTGTCTATTTTTCTTATTTAATATGGTTTCATAATGTTGTTTGTTGTAGAAGTAATTTTTAAAATTTATTTAAAATATAAATCTTTCAGTATGGTACTTAGTTTTTTTACTACACTTGTTACCATTTAATCTTCCACCATTTCTTCAACACACTTCACAATATTCCAAAACCCACAAAAAAAAAAAATAAAACCACTCTCAATATCATATTTACTCAACAAGCACGGCTTACTTTTGTGACAGTCTTTTGATTAATGTCAACTTGGACAACTCAAATTACCTGTATGTATGTATTTATGTTTGTCTGTCCATCACTCTTCATTCGGTTCATCACCATACGCAACAACACAAGCGTATGACTGAATGTGGCATGCAACAACACACAATTTATGCTGTTTTCTGTCCCTTCTTCCGCATTTCGTTTCACATGTGTCCAAAAGAAAAAATTTTCGGTAGCCAGTCATGGTATTTTCATTGTATAAAAACAGGTAATTTATACGTCAATTTGTTTGCCGCCTCAAATTTATTAGATTTTAATTTCTCACTTTTGTTCCAAATTCTTCTTCTCCTTCGTTTCTTCTCTCTTCCTGACATAGTATGCACGCACAATTCTTGTGGTAATTCGTTTGTTGTTTATACATTTGTATGTGTGTATGTACATGCTAGTAATGTGTTAAAAATTGGCTTTTCTTGCGGTGTGACGCAGCACTTTTGGCGTGTAGAGGGCATTAAAAGACTTAAGCGGCGAACTCCTATTCAAGCACTTGTTGCTTTTGTTGTACTGAGTGGGCATTTTAGTTGGGAATGGCTGGTACTTGTGCCTGTATGAAATAGGATCACTTGTAACCTTGAAATTGCAACCATTGTTTTGTACATAATGATATATGTAAGGAAGTAGTCGATAAGTTCGAGCAATTGCAGCTTAAAGTTCTGCTGAAAGACAAATAGGCAAATTTATTAATAAAAATGTTAAGCTTAAGTCTTTTCTGCTATGTAAACAAATATTTTTAATAATAATTTGGTCATAAGCAAACTCGTTTGCCTCATCCTAGAGCTGCGAATTATACACACCAACAGTTATACCATTTCCCACGCTTGTACGCAAATATCTCGAAATAAATCTTGGTTAAAAATTGGATGAAGTAAATTCCAAAATTTTATTGAAAAAACAATAAATTTCTTTCAATTAAACTGTCTTCTCCCTTCAATATGATGTGAAATCAATTGCAAATCCGTTTATTTAATTTTTGACACTCATCTTCTTTCACAGTGTACCATTCACAATGCACTACCAAACATTAAAAGTGTTATGAAAAGTTTTTATTTTTATTTTTTTGTATATTCAAAAGGTAGAAACTGAAACTATGTTAGTGTCACAAAAATATACTATGAAAACATATCTACATATATACATACAATTAATTTGGTGCAAAATTTCACCGACAATGAAAGTGGTAGTACACCATTCAGAACCAGTTCTGGAGCTTTTAGAAGGTTGAAAAGCTAAACGATAATTACAAAATCCGGAAAAATAGACACCCAAAAGGTATTAAAGTGTAATAAAAAAATTAAAAAAAATTGGTTTTTATATATATTTTTGACAAAAATTCTAGAATACAAAAGTAATTTAAAATAACACAAATAAAACTCGTACTAATAAAATAGTGAGCTCAAAAAACTTCGATAGCCTACATAAAGTTTGTTTACAACTTTAGTCAAATTATTTTATAAAAGCCGTCGCAAAACGCATGCAAAGTTCATTTGTTAAACGTTTTGTGAAAAGTACGCATATCGGTAGGAAAATAATAATGGGATTCCGAAAAGAACGCGCCTTCTTACACCTCACATTCATTTTCTGTTGCCTACAAAACGCAAGCGCCATAATAAATCGGCCACCCACGGAGGGCAGCACGCTGAGTGTGAGTAAACAGCTTGGCAGTAGTTATCTCAATCAACAGCGTCCACTTTGGATATTGGAGGATCAAGTACCCCAGCGAGATTACGCTGAGTTGTTGTACACAACGGAGAATCCGTACAATTATCGGCGTACACAAGCAATGCCGCAACAAAAAATGGACCAACAGTCGCAGCAACAAAGTACCGTCGAGAAAAGACAATTCAATCAGCCAAAACTATTTGCACAGCAACCATCAAAATACCGTCAGCAACAGCCAGTGCTGGGAATATACTCCAATCGTCGCCAAACACAGCAATACGCACAGCCCGCACGCATCTACAAGCACTTGCCGCGTGTGAAGCTCCCACGCCGCTACCTTCCGCTGCAACGCGTGCAGTTCCAACAGCGTACACGCAATCCAGCGCTGGCACGCAAGCAACCACGCTTCATCGCCCACAACAGTGATGTAGTGCCAACCGCACGTCGTCACGAGCAGTACATACCACACCTCAGTTTGCCCACATTCGATAGCCTGCCGGGTGATGAAAACGAGCGCTCGGCGCCGGTCTTCATTTATACTGGACCGAAAGGCGAACTCATTTTGAATACCATGTTGACAGCGGCGCAGTATCCGATGCAAGAGCCGGTGCCGGGTCAGGTGCTGTACCCACCCAGCGTGCCGGTGTTTCGACCTAAACCCATTGTGGAGCGTTTTCGTATGCCGGGTAGCGCTCAAACGCTTAATCTCACACTAATACCCTTCTACGAGCATGAAGCCATTGATATACGTCAGGCGTCGCGCATGTTGGATCACGAGCAAGCACTAGGACGCGAGGTGAGCACTACAACTCCACCTACAGTGATGTATGCTGCGCCTGCGCCAGCTATGCCATCCGTAGCGGACTCATCCACCGGAGAATCTGCGCCATCGGCGAAAAAGTTGCGTTTCAAAAAAGCCAAACACTACTCGGCCTATCATTCGCCCAACGAAGTGCAATGGTCACCAATGATGTCAGACCAACTGCAACTCATGACAGCCTCGACAACAACGCCATTCCCGCAGACAGCTCCCAGCCCACCACAAAATCATCGCTACACAACGGATGTGGGGGCGACGTCAACGACAGCGCCCTCGCTGAGCAACTACAAAATCACCTACGAATCAGAAACGGATAGTGTGGAAGAGGGTGATATGGAATTGCTGGTGAATAGTGATCCACTGCAAATTGTGTACATGGATGATAGTTTGGAAAAACCTACTGCCCCGACAAAACCGCCAATGATGAGCTCACGTTACTCGCTGTCCAAGGAGTATTACGCCTTTCCGGTATTTACTTTGGGTAAGCTTTTGAAGCCGGATACGGAGGGCACGGAAAAGCCGTTGCCCGCTTTTATGGTTCAAAACACGATTGACAGTCCGCTGAGTAAGAGTGAGCAGCACGCGGAAGCGTCGAATGCGGTGCCTGAGCACGCAGCAAGTGCTAATGTGAGTGCGGAAGTGCAAGGGGATGACGAAGATGACTTGGATGATGTGGAAACGTGGTTCATATTGAATTCCAGGTGAGTGAAACTGCGATTTTCAGGGCAACAGAGCATTCTAATTCATTCCGAGATGGTAGCTCTAAAGATTCAAATATGTAAAGCTTTTAGTGATGAGGAATGCAACAAAAGCGCTCATAAAGCGCCTAAAAACCTTTAATGAAAGCTCTAAGCTTTTTCATAAGCAGCATAAGCTCTTCAAAATTAGCAAACTTTGAAGTTGTTTAATAAATGAAATTGTGAAGCGTTCACCTTGTATTTTTTTATAAAAAGTTCTTAAAGCTTCTTCAAGTTCAATGTTTTTATTTGCAGATATAAAGGGCAGCATCACACAAACAACAACGAATATCGTCTTTCTTCGAAATATATACACACGACAGACGTGCGAGAGCTGGATGAATGAAAGCTGAGTGACTGTAGAAAGCTTTGGCTTACAACTTTTTTATATCATAAGTACCGCGAAGCTAATAGCATTAATTTGTATTCAAAAATATGCCTTACGTGTTAAGTACAAATAAAAAATTTTAATATTAAAAAAGTTTAAATAAAAAGTGCTTTTATTTCTAATTCAAAGAAATAAAAAATAAATAAATAGAAAATAATAACAAAATTAAATAAAATGAAATAAATAAAATAAAATTAAATTAAATAAAATAGAATAATATAAAAGGAAATANAGTAAAATAAAATAAAATAAAAAAAAAATAAAAAAAAAATAAAATAATTTTTTCTTTAATTATTTTAAATAGCAGAAGAAAATGGTAAACCAGTTATGGGTTATTTTCTTTAATAGCCAACAAAACATTTTTGATTTTGTCACATTTAGTATCTGTAATTTGATCACTTGTTCACAAAAACAATGATTTGCATGTGCTGCTCACCAATGCGTCAAAGCGCTTAATGAAGGCAATTAATTTTAAGAATTTCTAAATTGAATTTTAAAAGAAATTTATCTTCCAAAACGGTTTGAGAGACTTTAAAACTAATGAAAAATCTCTAATTTAAAAGCTTTTGACGACAATTGTTTGGAAATTCCTTCGGGTTGTCAACCATTTGTGTGGGTTTATGTCTTAACAAAAGACGAAAGAAATTTTTCAAAGTGTCAAAAAACCAATGCTTTTCAAACACAATGCAACAATAACAAAAATGCTAGTATTGTTAATCAATAAAATTCCATGAAAATTAAGTTTTGAATTCTTCAATAAGTTCAGAAAGTAAAAGAAAAATCACCGGCTGATAAGTTATTTAAGCAGTAATTTATTTAGTAGCTACCGCTGTTTCGCTGCTTTGGCTTGTCTTTACTCATTTTTCTTACCACTTATTACAATACATTACTCGCCTCCTCCGCCACCAACCGCCCGCGGTTGAGTCAATTACAGTTAATAAAAACTCAGTCAAATGCATTTTTAACGATGCCATAAATGCCATGATACGGTCGTGTCGCCTCAGCATCAGCCGGAGAATGCAACAACTGAATGAGCAAGTGACGAATTGGTGGTTTTTTGTTTTTGTTTTTGTCTTTCTTTAGCGGGTCAGCAGCACAAATCAATGTTGACCAAATTGCCGTCAGCGCCGCCTAAATTTTTACATGCTTCCTCTTCTTCTTCGTGCCACTTCATCACCCTCTCTAATTTCCACTTTACAGCTAATTCGCTTTGGGTTTTTGGTGTTGTTTTTATTGTTCTATATTATGCTTTATTGATTTCGTTTGCGTGCGCGCTGCATGCAGTCGCGCGTGTTGCATTTTCTTTGGTTTTTTGTTTCATTTTTTTTTTAAATTTTTTTCGGGAAATTTTTTTAATTTTTTTTATTTTTTTTTAATTTTTTTTTAATTTTTTTTTTTATTTTTTTTTTATTTTTTTTTATTTTTGGTATTCAAGTTTTGCTTTTCTTCTCCTTGTATTAGCTTTTCTACTCTTCTTATTTTAGTACCTCAATTAATTTTGTTAGAATTAAAATTTCATGTCTTCTCAAACAACAAAAAAAAAGAAGAAAAAATGAAGAAAAAAAGCTGACCTTTCTCTGCTATGCGCATCTCTACGCCTCGAGGTTGAGTATAAAAGGCCAAAAAGTCATTAGAAAATGTTTTAGAATTGTTTTATTGCTTTAGACAAGCGGATCAGGTGAAATGTGTTGATAACGGTGTAGTGTTGGTGATTAGAGGAAAAGGAATACAAAAAGTGTATTACAAATAAACGAAAATCAAAAAGTAATAAGCAAATAAAAAAGGATATTCAAAAGGACTCGGTTGCAGTCCTGCATGTTTTTCTTAACAGTGATGCCAAAACGAGAAAAATAATAAAAATTTTATAAAATAATTTAAACAAAAAAAAAAAAGAATTGATGAACAAATTTTAAAAAGTGCAAAATATTTTATATTTTATGAATAATAAAATACTTTGTTTTATATAAGAAACATTGAAAAATTTATGTGAGAAGAAATATTTAAAAACACTTCTTTTTTTGTTTCCAAAAAATCGAGATATTATAAAATGCTTCTACAAAATCTGCTAAAATTCTCACTGGTGGGTAAATTATGAATAAAAATTCATAATAACATATTTAACAATATATTATAGAAAAATGAACAAAAAATCCCAATTAAAATGTTACCAAATTTTTCATAGCAAAATGAGTTGAGCAACTCAGTAATTGCCTATTGTGACTGCTGTCCAAGTAAGAGGAATAAATTAGAAAAATCCTTAGAGAAATAAGTATAACAAATTAAATTAAAACTATGCATTAAAATATTAAAAGTATCTGATTAAGAGCATAAATTAAAATATTGTCTGATTTAAAGGAAAAATTAAAAAAAACTTGAAGTGCAAGTCAAGTAGAAAACCAGCTGACTGTCTGTTTTGATTGCAGCAACGTCGAACCTACCTTGTGTTTGTTGACGGGCGTACTTTGCTGCATAGAGGCGGGCGCATACCTTCGCTGCGACAAGATCAGACTCTACAATGGGCCCTTGGGACGCACGCACTATCGCAACATGATCATTTTCGATTTCTTAACAGCCAAGTAGTAAACCATATTTCGGGCCATGCCAAAGCCGATCAGTCTGAGTCCGTCTGAAGAAGTTTGTTGTGATACTGAAAATGTCTGCAGGGATTGTTATCAAAACAATGGTCGCGCAACCGAGATTTTCAGTAACTTTTTAACTGGTATAGAATTTTTTATGATGTGGGCCCCGAACCATACTACCAATCATAGGGGGTCCGCCTTCCCAATTTTACACACCCTCAAATGGATTTTTGTTGAGTACTTGGTCCAAGACCGGAAATTGTCAGCTACTTGAATCATATGTAACAAAATCGTTTCTGCGAAAAGCTTACACTTCTTGTCTTACTTGTACTGCGTGAGATCGACATTTGCACATAAAAATTAAGAAATTAAAGAGTTTGTCCTTTTTTTTAAATAATTTTTTATTCCCAAATTATATGTTTTTTATTTTGAGACTTCGCGCAAATAAAAATTACAATAGTTTAATTTTTCGATTGCAGTTTCGCTCTTCTTGGCTTAGGAACTATTCACAATAGTTTACTAAAAACGAGTGTCAAAGTTTTCACTGAAAAAAAGGATTTCTTAGAATTCATCGTTTGATTTAAATAAAAAAAGTAAAACCCACCCGAAAATTTCAATAAAATTACTTATTAGCGGTGTTGTGTTAATTTATGTATAAGTTCTACTAAAATTAACTTCTAGTTCAAAAAAAAAGCATGAAAACAAACCACTAAATATATCTCCAATATGTTTTTTTTTTATTGCAGTTCCTAACTCTTGCGACGCTGTCGCCAGCCCACGCCTTCTGGTGGGCGCCGCCGGCAGCATCAACAACAACGTAAGTTGCCATGCAGACCACATTTCAGAAAATATTATAGATTTATATTTTGAAATTCAATAAGAAAATACAGAAACTTCGTTTGTTACAGCGCAACACCGCCGACGCTGCATCTGAAAGAAATACCGCTTACCTATTTTCGCACATACACCTACCAACCCATGCCGGGCAATGCTTTTGCCGCCTTTAATTACTATCATCCTCCGACGAGCGCTTTGCAATCACCGCTTTTGGCGGGTACCGCGCGATACGATCATGCTGCTTATATGCATGGCAACGCTTACCCGATAAATGTAGCTGTGCCGCAGCAGCAGCCGCAACAGCAGCTTCAAGGACATTCAAGTATCGCTGGAATGCTGCCGCAAATGTATGCCTTGCCACAACAATTGCCAGTGTTGCATGTGAAACCGCTACAAAGTCCCATAACCACTAGTACTAGCACAGCGCGGCCCACGACAGCCAGCACTAGCACCAGCACCAGTACGACGACTACAACGACAACAACAACCACAACACCACCACCACCACCACCACCGCCGACAACGACATCCACTAGCAGCACTAGCACAAGTAAGACAACAATAAGTGCGCCTGCTACGTTAAATAGTCAGACGCAAAATGCCTCTACTAGCCTGTATACGCCACAACAGCCGCAGTCGCAGCCGCAACCTCAGCCATATCCGTATCCCTATCCATATCCCACTTACAATCGACGCGCCTACATGGGCTACAATCCAACACACAGCTATCGTCCAGCATATCCCTATCCAGACTACACGCTCTATAAGACCGCACCTGCCTCTCGCTTCAGTAGTCATGGCGGTCAAATACAATTTGTACCTTGCATGTGTCCGATCAGCGTGAGTTCGGGCGCGGAAAGGCATACAGCGTTATCGCCACAGTTACGCAGCTCCAGCGGCGAAGAGGAAGATTTATTAGTGTTGGCGCGTAATGATGATATGAGTTTACCGGCAGAGCCGAGCGTGGGAACTGAGAAGTTGGTGCAAGGGAAAAATGAAACTGTTGGAGGCAGAAATGGCATAGAAGTGCAGCAAGTGAAAGCCAAGATTGGTCATGGAGAAAGTGAAGTTGCACAGAATTCCACACAACAGTTGTCAAAAGAGACCGTAAACGTGAAACTGAGTACGCCCAAAGTTGAAGAGAAGTTTTATGATGGCGTAGCGAATGTGAGTGAGCAGGCGGTGATAGTCTTATAATATATTTCTAAATAATAATTAAATAATTTTAGTTAAAATATGCACAAAATAAAATTAAATTTCTCTGAGCAACAATTTAAATATTTATTTTAATACTAAAAATAAATATTTTAAAAAATATTTTAAATTATAAATGCATTTATTTAAAATAAAAAGTGAAAATGATAATTTAATAATATTTTGTAATTTAAAAATAATAACTGAATAAAATTCAAATCCTATCTCCTTTGGGCAAAATTTCCTTCTAAGGCAACTAAATAAACCAACGTGTGAACAATCACTAAGCATCTTTTCACCCACGCCGTTACAAAAGCTTACAGTAATCGATTATCGAGTATCGATATTAACGTCACACTGTGATGATCTGCAAGTTTTTATTTTTTACTTTAGAAGAAAATTGTTTGAATTTAGTGATTCTTTAATTTTTATTGACTCTTTACTTTGTTTGCGTTGAATAATAAAAATGTGCAATATGTAATTACTGCGTTTATGTGCGTGTGTATGAAGGTTGTGAAGCGGAAATGTAGTTTGATGAAAATGACGCCCGGTGCTTGTTGTATGATGCTATGATTGATATACTAATTTTAATATTGAAATCTCACGTACAAACATGTTGTAGTAGATATTAAATTAATTAATAAATTGCAAAATTTAGTATGAATTGGTTTATTAAACAGTCGCGATGTCGCACGTGAGAATAGCATTACGTGCAAGATAAAACACGTACGCTCAAGTTCCGGCGGAAGTAATATGTAAAAATTATTTTATAAAACATTTTTTTTCGAATTGCGATCGCCAACTCGGTCTCCGAAATGTCAATAAACACATACATATGTACAAAAAGAAGTTAATAATCAATAAACAAAGGTAAGTTACGCTTGAAATGTTTAAAAACGCATTATCTCGATTTTTTAAAGGAAAATCTCTGACCTATAATAAAAACAAATAAAACTAATCAAAGTGACAGGCTTACATGACTCGTGGTATAAACAAATTATACAAGTGTGTGGTAAACATTAATAACAAGAGAGATAGTGTTCCTTTGCCGCAAGTTCACAAATGAAAAATGTGGGCTGGTCAATGCATCCGCTATTATAGCTTAACATTAATTGAGAAATGAGCAAGTGGTATGCTTGGGAGACCGACCGCATTTCAGGCGCTATAGACATGTTTAATGAGCCAAATTAGAGTTGCACGTTGTGGAGATCAGTCATCACGCAAGTTTGAAGAAAATGGCTAGTGTAAAGACATGGCGTGTAGGTTGAGAGGTATCATATGTACATATGTATATATGTTTAAATTTGTAAAACATGATTAACGATTTGTTTTACATTTGTTAATGATGCGCTTTGATACTAATTCTTCATTCTATGTTCTTCTTCTTCTTCATGTATGTTCTTCCACGAGTATATCTACAAAATGGTGTGTACATAATATTTTAGGTTATTTTTATTTTATTTATTTTTTCTATTATAGGTCTTAATACATGTTTTAGCTTTGTTTTACTATTTCTTTTTACTATTTATTTTGTATGAAATTAATGTTTCTATTTTCTTAAGTGACTCTCACTTCTGACAAATTATTTTTTTATGTTTTCTATGTTTCTAATTACGATACTCATGTCAATTTATGATTTTTGACACATTTTAAACGCGAGTGTGTGTTACGAGGAGCTTCATCGTGCGCGTATTTGACCTAAATATTTGTTATGTAGAGAGAAAATTGTCAAAGTATTTTTTTTCATATTTAATATTTAAGAATTTTTCACTTCTTAACTTACATATGCATGTTAATATTTGTGTATCTAAAAATCTCATCAACGTCTCCTAGGCTTTCAACTCGCTTTCAAACTATTTTATGCCATAAAATTCCTATGATTCACGCTCCATAGCTCTTTGGGCTCCATCAAGTATTACATTCACTAGAAATTAAGTCATAAATATTTTGTTGGCTATTTATGTTATGACATGCTATGCTTACATATGCATTTGTTAATAATTTTTCCTTAGCCAATTGCAATTTCGTGTTTTTATCGTATCTATTATTATATTGTGAGATTGCATGCATTAATGGGTTGTTTAATTTGCTTAAATATGGTTGTTGGTATGAATTAACTTACATCATTTATTTTATTTTATTTTAATTAAATTTAATTAATTTTTATTTAATTTCTATTGATTATTATTTAAATATATTTTTTACTACTTTATATTTTTTAATATATTCATTATAATTTTTTTATTTTTATTTTTTTCTTTTTGACATTTTGTCAATTTTTTCAAATAATTTTACATTGTTTTTTATGTATTTTTTTGGATTTTATTTTGGACACTTTAATTTAATTTTATTTGATTTCGGTGTATTTTTTATAAAACGAAACTAAATTAATTTAATTAATTTCATTTAATTTAGTTTTGTTTTATTCAATTCAATTTAGTTTATTTAATTTTAGTGTATTGTATTTAATATTTTTCTTTTAAATTTTTTTTTTTAATTTTATATAATTTAATTTTGCTTTTTTTTCTTTTATGATCTTTTTCGACTTGCTTAAGTTATGTTTTTTCATGCTATTAATTACTCACTTTCCTCAGACAAAGCTTTTAAGTTATTATATAATACAATATTTCCACATGGTTTGTGTCCCTGCTACTAACCGTTTTTTGAAAGAGCTTCAGCAGGCTTACTTCGTGTACATACATACCGTTATACAATGTTACTTAGCAAGAGGTAAATGAAACAAAAATAACGGCACATTCTACTTCGCTCATTTTCTTCCATTCTTAACTAGCTTCTCTCTCCGCTCATTCCATTTCACTTTAAAATATACATATGTATACATAAAATGTGTTAACGGTGTTCATACGAGTGTGAGTACATTTGTATATGTTTGTATGTTTATAATAAATGTAACACAAATGTCACTCTTGATGACTGTCTTCCATTGTTGTTGTTATTGGCCTTAACCATATTACTACACAGCTTTGTATAAGTAATTGGAAAGTGTTGCGACTGCGCATGTGCGGTATTTTTGGAGTTTCTAATACAAATTTATATGTGCAAGCGCATCCTTGTGCTCAGTTAGACACTTGTGCTCACGTCTTCTTTACTTTACGCTCTTTTAGTTCTTCTTCGAAAGAGCATTTGAATTTTGACAGATTTTGGTTTGGCGCTTTTATGTATATCTTGAAAGGAGATTAAGAAAAAAATTAATTTGGAAAGCTTCTTCTTCTTCTTATTTACGGTAGAAAACACCGCTTACACGACATAAGTTGGTCAATAGTTGACGTAACCTCGTTTAATATTGCAAAATTTTGCTGAAGGGGACTTAATATGAGATAGAAGGCTGATCCCGCGATACTTAGTGCAGTATATATATTCTAGCCATCACCGATTCGGAAACGTCTTCTCAAGAATTTAAGCGGCAGTTAAAAGAGCTTTTTTTTCGTTTTCACAGAAAATAGCTCGACCTCAAGTAGAATCATCTATAAGACACATCAGTTTTTCTTAGAATTTTCGATCATTCTTTTCTTTTTCTGAGAAGACGCTTTGTTTCCACCTTCAATTCTTGGAAACTTCACCACTCGGTGCCACAATTCACTTAACTTTCAAATAAAGACAGTGTATTGTATTTCAAGTCTTCTAAGAATTTCAAAACTTGAGACAACACTGAAAAATTCTCATGCCAAAAATCAACCCTGTGCCCTTACATTTACAGCGCGCAACACAAAACACGCGAATTCGATGTAAATATTGAATTTTTCACCCCAAAATACAGTCCACACATTCGAATAACATTCTGCTAACGGTAATGGAGAGCGACTTCTGCGCAGTAAGCAGCGAACTGCCGCTGACAGCCTTAAAGGTGATTACTAAGTGCAAAATTTTTCCACAGACCAGACTATCGTCGTCGACATTTGTAAGCGTTTCAATCAAATCGAACGAAGCGTAGCTAACGAACGGGCGAACAAGCAAAAGATTTGCAAAGTAAGCAAAGTAATTCCTATACAAATCATTTTTTCCCCTTCCTTTGCACTGCACTACACTACTGGCAAGAGATTTGTCATTCAAAGTGTGATTAATTAATTATTAGGAATTGTGAAATGACTAAAGTGTGACTCTATAAAAGGCTTGGCAAAAGTGTAAATGCTTCTTTTTTGGAATTTTTCGTGCACAGTGTGTGTATGTGTATGTGTGTGAAGGGTGAATTCGAAATGGCGTTTAACCAAAGTGCACAAAACGAATGAAATGGAATTTGAGAAACTGCGCCCAAATGTAGACTAAACAAAAAATAAAATGATATAAATTTGCAAATGTTGAAAAAGTGTTTTTTTTTTATAGTCTACCCATTGCGCCCCTCCCCCCACCACAAGTGTTTGCAGTTAGTCGTTGTGCTAGCTAACTTGTCGCACAAATATTTTTCTCGCTCAGGGGTGTGACTGACAGTTTCGATTTTTTTCTCATATTCCACTGCGATTCCCCACTCCACACGCTCCAACCAGTGCCACTAGTGTGCGTAACAAGCCGAAAAAATAACAAAGAAAAAAGAGAATTCAAGTAAATTGCGGATTGAGCACTACAAAAAGTGCAGACAAAAAATAAATAGTCTAAAATAAGTAAAATAGTGTGCAAACAGAAATTAAAAAAATAAAAAATATACAAAAAAGCAAATAAACGAATAAACACAAAAAAAGAGAAAATAACGTAGAAAGTGTTGGATTCCGTATGAACCTCGGAGTGGCGCAAGTGTCAAGTCGAAACGATTTTCAGCTGAAAAAATCAGCGAGCAAGCAGTTGTAATTGCGTTGCGTGTCTGCGTCAGAGGCACTTGAAAAAGCTGCATACCTTTGGGCGCAGTGGGAAGGCGAAGAGTTGGATTTGACCGAAAATAATTAAAAAAATAATTGAAATTAATAAAAAAACTAAAACAAAAACTTAAAGAAATGAAAAAAATAAAAAGAAATATAATTCACTGGAGATTTGGCTTGAAATACAATAATAAACTTTTTTTTGAAGCATAGCATATAAGAGTCCAACAATGATAGACGAATAATTTAAAGGCTCAAGAAACAACAAAAAAATTATGAAATTTTCAAAAACTACAAAGAAAACGAACAATTATATAACATTAACAGATAACTTAGCTTAATTTCTATATTTCAGAAGAATCATTTATTTAAAACATTTAATTTATTTAAAAATTGCTTTATCAATTTATAGTTTGTGTAATTATTTCACATCATTTTAGAAAATAGTTGTTTACTGTTTTTGTAGAATTAGTTTTTGAATCTGTTATGCATATATTTCTCGGATTTTTTTTATTAAATATATCACGCTTTGAATAAGAAATAAACCCTAAAGTTGGATAACAAATTTATTTATATATAAATAAATTATATAAAAAATATTTTTTTTGATCTTATATTTAAAAAAATAATAGTTTCTAAAAAATTAGCTGCAAGTATTTAAGTTTAAAAAAAAAAAGTATTTTTAACATTTTAAAAACCAATAAATTCAACACAATTATTTATGTGTTTTGACTCATTTGATATTTGAGTTTGAGCTTACAAGTTACACTGAAAATATATAACACTTTTTTGTGGTTTTGAGTTATTTTTAGGCTCTGTAATCTTTTTTAGAATTCTTGGAGTTCTGAAATTTTTAAGGTAGTCAGGTGTTTCATAGTTTTAATTATTCTCAAAAAATCTTTGGCTTTATTACTTTTAACTAATGAATTCAAGAGCAATTTTTATAAAATTGAGTTAAGTCTGTATATTCGTTTTCCAAAAATTTCTTTATTTTTTTCGTTTTGTAGTTGAAAGTATTAAACCATTTTGTTTCATTCGATTTAGAGATGTTTTTGGTCATTTCTACTCAAATTTTTAAAGCAATTATTTTATTGAAATTTTCCCCATTCTTTAGCCTTTGAGTTTCCTAATTTTATAAAAAAAAATCTTTTTAAAAAAATTCTTTTAAGTGAAATTTTGAGTTTTCAATATTCACATTATTTAGTTAGTCAATTCATATTGTTTATTGTATTTTATTTTATTTTAATTTATTTTATTTTATTTTATTTTATTTTATTTTGTTTTTTTTATTTTATTTTATTTTATTTTATTTTATTTTATTTTATTTTATTTTATTTTGTTTTGTTTTATTTTATTTTATTTAATTTTATTTTTTAATTTATTTCTTTTAGTTTTTGTATGTTTTTTTTAATTTTATTATTTTTTTTTTAATTTTAGTTTTATTATTTTCTTTTAACTTTTTTACATTTTATTTTAATTCAATTAATTTTTAAAATTATTATGCTTCAATTTTTATTTGGTTTTGTTTTATACCATATAATTTAATTAATTCAATATTTTTCCAATTTTTTTTTTATTGATTTTATTATTATTATTTTATATAATTTTTAGAAAATATTTTACATTCTTCTTTTTACTTTCCCTATATATTTTTTTTTTTAAATTTCTAATAAATATTTTCGAAATCGTTCAAAGCAGCATTTAAATCTTCGTAAAAGAAAAACAAAACAAGAAAAAATAATAACAGAAGAATTAGACTCCGCCAGTGTGTGTGGTGAAAATTAAAAGAAAAAAAGAACAACTTTTGAATAGAAACCCAAACAAATTAAGACACGAAAACACTGTGCTTTGTGGAGAAAATGTTAAAATCAAGTAAATTCAGTCTTGGCCTGTTGGCCTTAACTGTCATCTGTGCGACAAATTGCCCAAATGTACAGGTGAGTGAGTCATGATTATATTATTTATGTATGTATAACTATGCACATAAGCATAAAAGCACAAATATAACTGTTTATTTATATGTATGAGTGCCGCTGCTATTCCTTGTGCTTGTGGTTTCGTTATCTTCCATCCATTCACCTTTCAGTTCGCTGCTTACCATCGCTCGTCCTTCGTTAACTACTCGTCCATTCGTTTGTGCTGTCGGCTTTTACCGTTTGGACACGCTTCGTCGTTTTTATGACCTTTTTTTGTCGTTTTTGTTTTGCCGTTGATACCGTTGTTGCCGTCGTAGCTTCTTTTGCTTCACTTGCTTCACTTGCTACGGAATTATTGTTGTTGCGCTAAATTTCGTTGTTTTGTGTTGTTGTTGTGGCTGCTACTTTTACTACAATTTATTTAGTATTTGTCTTCTCGTTTTAATACAATATCCATTTCGTGTTTGTTGTTGCCGCTTGTTGTGGTCACTGAAATAATTATAATGCTCCTTACTCGCCTCGGCGTTCTCTCCACTTCCACTTCCACTTCTGCTTCTATGTATTTTATTATGCTTTTGTTTTTGTTTTCGACACACGCTTGCACTGCGCTTTGGGGTGACCAAGCGCAATGGTGGATTTTTTATGCCTCCGTTCGAAACTCATTGCTATCCCACAAGTACATACATACATATCTATTAGTCAAGCCGAGCTCAGTCGTTGTTGCCGTCTCTAGGGTTGCTCTGTGCAGTAAATAAAAAGCAATAAAAACATAAAAAAAATTAAATTGCGTATAGGGATTGTCCACTTTTATGGTTAAAATGGAAATGACATTTTCCTTCGTTTGAATTTGGCTTTCATATTTGTATGTATGTACGTGTATGTATATTTGCTTGTTTTGGTGTGTGACCGTAAGTCGAGACTCGTAAATGTCGAAAGCCATTGAGTTGCAAAAAATGGTAATAAAATATATTTTATGTGTGCGTAAGCAAGAAGTAAGGCCAGAAAAATGGGCAGACCATCAGGAGAAAAGTTCGAAAATTAATTGTTTTGAATTTGGCGTGAATAGTTTGGGCAAAGTGACTCTTTAAATGCTTTAGAAACTACGAAAATTAGAATAATGCTATAACTTTTCTTACTCTCTCCCTCTCTCTGTACCTCTGTCGCTTCACACAGCGCAGTTCTCACTCGTGAAATTCTCAAACGGCTCTTGACCTGAGTTTTATTTACGAGGAACTCTAGTTAAAATGGAGCTGAAGAATAGAAAGGTAAAGAAAGCCACTTTATATCGCAGATCTTCAGAAGAAAACTGTTAGCTCTCTTTTCATGCGGCGCGTTTCTCATACCGTTTATGACTTTAATTTTATTTGTGACGACTTCTTTGCGCTTTACGTCGCAGATATTCAGAAGAAAAGTCTGTCTTTCTGTTGCTTGATCACTTTGAATGCTTATATTTCTGATACATCCCTTCGGCAAGGAATTTTAATCCCTCCGAGAGCTTTAATCATATGCCAGCTGCCAATCCGAGGTTAAAAAAAAAACTTTATGTCGCTCTAAAAAACGTCAAGATATACACCACACATCCGAATCGAGCTCAGCTGATATAACATACAGTGAGGAGTTCGTACTTCTCTCGGCCTCTTGCTCATTTAACAATCCCTTACTCATGCACAGCATTTTGAAGACACTTTTAGGCAATTTTACGTCCTCAAACTAAACATTTTCGAAGCTTTAGTCTGGTTGACTATAAAAGCTGGTATGGAGTTTTATTATTTACCCTTTCGGCCACCTAAATTTTATCGCTGAAAATATAAACTCTTCATGACGAGGGAGTGGGACACTTCTGACACACCTACTGTTATACCATTTAGCATGGTAGAAGGAGAAAGTTAGCACGCTCTCTTCAAGTGAGGGAATGAGATTACAAAAGGATGTTCTCAATACTTCTCAGAATAGTGAGGAAAGGCGGTACCGCCTGTGTTTAGATGTCGTAGGATAGTCTATATCTCACCTTATGGGTTATGTTGAAAGTTAAATGTGAGCTTTGCATAACAGCTCATTACGGCAAGGCTTGATTCTTAAGAGCACTATATTTTTGCTAAAGCTGCAAGAAAAGCGCTCCCTGCAGGACACTTAAAGCATGTTAATACGATTGAATATATTTAAAGTGAAGAGAGCGGTGAACCCCGTTGCTTGGTTGTGGAGCACATACGCAGAATGGAAGGTTTGATAACTCTACTTCTGAGGCAGAAGTGATTATATCTCCAGACGAGTTCGCTACAGAGAGAAATTTTACGGAGCTGTGTATTCATTCAAACGAAGGGCGAGGCGTTCTACGTGAGAAGCACAAGGGATTGAATTAAGTTTATGCCGACACTATCATAACTTGTATCTAGATTTTGACAGATCTTGGATAGCCGAAGGGAGCTTGCAAGCAGTGTAAGAACAGTTATTGCTGTTATTGCTTATGACGAGATCATACACATACAGTAAGTCTCGATTTTAGCGGTACGTTCTGTGCATGACTTAAAGCTAGGAAAATGAGTACAACTCAAAGTATGCCTCCCTTGGAAAACCTGGAAGAAGACTTGGGAGCATAGAAAATACGTACTTGAAGTCGGTGATTGATTTTCAAAACACTTAGGTTATATTATATATATGTAACCATATTTTAACTTATCGCTATCACCAAACTAATGAGCTTTTTAGCGACTTTCATGACGTTTTCTTCTTTTCTTTTCTACCCTCTACAAATGCTCCGATAGACTTGTCGATTTATAGATCTTTTTGGAACATAATTCTAGTCAAATTCACCGAGAGAACTGCGTTAATTTTAAGCTTTACTTTTTCTCTACTATTCTCTCCCTTCCACACTGTCGCCCCTTTTTGTGGGGAATCATATTTGGGTGTGAAAACTCACCAGCATTTCATTAAACTGATTTTCAAAAGCAGAAATAAGTCTCTAACGTTGAATTCATTTCCATTTCTTTCTTTCTCTCTGCTTGTTCGAGCAAAAAAATCAATATCCCTTTTGACACAATTCATTCGTTCTTTTGTCAAATAATAATACGAAGTGATAAATCAGAAATTTATTGAATTGAAATGAATCGAAATCTGCATTTACCTATTTACGTATATATTTACATATATACATACCCCTTACGAGTATATAAAAAAATTGATTACGAAACTTTCGATCCCTCTCTCTCTCTCTCTTTCTCTGCCCTTTTACATTTGCTTACTGCATTTACTCTCTGAACCTTTTACCGTTAAGTGTGTAGTACATTTTCGAGCAATCTTTTATTAGCTCTTTCTTCTTCTCCAATCAGTTTTTATTGTTTTTTTTTATTTTTTCCTTTCTTTTTATTTTCACTTTATTTTACTAAATATAATTTTTTTTTATTTTTATTTTATTTTATTATATTTTATAATATTTTATTTTATTTTTAATTTATTAAATTTTTATTTTTATTTCATTCCTTCCTTCGTCTTATTTTTCATTGCCTTTTCCTTAGCGTTGTAAAAGCAATTTCCACACCGTTTTGAACTTTTTCAAGGCTCTCTCAGTTGGGGTTATCCAGCTATTGCGTGTTGTCATGGTAGCAAAAACAAAAACAAATATATAAATTATTAAGTATATATATGATATATAGTAGTATATATATATACTATATATACATATATGTATATAATATCTAAGGGTTATTTGTAGCCGCTTGATTGGACAAATGGAAGTTTATATCGCTTGCCGCTGACGTGTAGTGAAGTGTATGTGTGTAAATTTGATTTTAACGTTTGTACGTACTCGTACAGTTAGTTTATGAACTTTCCAAATGCGAAACGACCTCTTGTATTTAATTTCCTTTGACACGCAAAGTGTCTGACCCCAACAACGAAATTTATATTTTGCCAGGACCGTTCCTGCATTTAGTTGCGTTGAGTGTACAATTTTGTTGTTTTATTTTCTCTCTATACTACTTTTGTTATAATTTTACTGCACTTCACTTGTCTTAGTTTTTCGTCTTTTTTTCCAATTCACTTAAGTTTCCCAAACACGGAAATAGTTGTGTAGTCGCGAAAAAAAAGAGATAAATTACACATTGCTTTCTTCTCTGCTACTCTGCTTCCACTGCCGCTTCCGCGTCTTCGCGTTAGCCTCACGCGCGTCTCACACATAACCAGCAACTGGATTTCAGCCAAATCGCCAATTTAGGCGGTGGCTTTTCATGACTCATTTATTTTGGCAGCCTTTAGGGGCGCAGCGCCTGCATTTTTGCATGCAATGCGTCGCCGTTTGCCAATGTTTGCCAAAAAAAAAAAAAAAAACTAATAACAAATGGTTGCGAAAATTGATTGCAGCTATAGAGATTAAAGTATGCGTGAGTGCTCAAATTAATTGAGAAAAATGCAGTGTGTGGTCTGGCAAAAATTGACTAGTTGGCAGCTTAAAAGAATGAATTCGAGAAGAAATTTTATTTTCATTTCAAAACCGAAATTTGATAGCGACGTTTTTTGGGTGATAGGGTTAATTATGTGTCTTGCATTATTTTTTATTTTTTCTTTTTCAATTTTTTTTGTCGTGGTTTTAATTTTGTTTCAAATTAGTTTTTTAATGTCCATAATTTTTTTTACATTTTATTTTAAACTGTTTTATATTATTTTACTTTAGCTCATATTATTTTATTTAATTAAATTAAGTGCAATTTAATTACATTTTAATTTGATTTTTTTTAATTTTTTTTGCTACATTAATTTATTACATTTATTTAGTTTTATTCAATTTAATTATGTTAATGTTTTTTATATTTATTTCATTTGATTCTTTTTTATTTTATTTATTTAATTTTATTTTATTTAATTTTAATAAATTAAATTTTTAAATTTTACTTTATTTTTTTTTTTAAATTGTTATTATTATTATTTTTAATTTAGTTTGTTTTATTTTATTTAATATACATATTTTTTAAAAAATTGTTTTATGTTGTTTTATTGTATTTCATTAAATATATATAGTATTCGGCAGC